TATGATTAAATATACTTGAATTTAAACAGATCTTGAGAAACCTTCTTAGTGGGAGTGTAATTCTGATGAAAAGTGTGTGAACAATAAAAACTCCACAAATTTCCCCACACCTCCACACTTCTCTTTTGTCTCGGGCCAAATCTTAGATTTCTGTGAAGCTATAAAGTCTGTTTTTAAACTCACATTATTTCTCATGAATGCACATTTCTGCATTCTTTACAGACATTTTTAGTCCACACGTCATTGCTCCAATCAACCTCATTTCAGCTCCACCAGTACATGGCCCCTGTGACGTATTCACATACTGCTCCTGTTTTCTTAATCACTGATACACGTAGGATTCAGCAGTGTCATGTACTCATTTTGGATTTTACAGATGGAAAAAAAAATCTATTCACTCTAGTGTGATGTGCAGTTATTCATGTGAGAGGCCCACAGCATGTAATGACATTTAAGGCAATATTTCCTAAAGAGAAATGGTAAATGGACATTTTTATACATATTTTTTTCACCTTCAAGGCTCCAAGTGCTTTACTTTACTTCAAGGAACCGTGCAATGTACACAGACCCTGGGGGCGAGTTAAAGTGTCTTAACCATCATCACCAACATATTGAACAAATGAATATAACATGAATCTGAGCGTTCTACCAATGATGTTTATGTCGAGACTGGGATTCAAACTGAATGATCTTAACTGTGATTCATTATTTATCATCTAGAGATAAATAATTTTTTCCACAACAAAACCGACAACCTTCAGAGCAGTGGACAAACGCTCTACCAGAGTTTCTGTCTTTCCTGTAGGTCAGCTCCTCACCCCCCTCTGGGTTCAGCTCCTCACCCCCCTCTGGGTTCAGCTCCTCACACCAGGAGTTTTCAGTGGTAAGATTTCTCTTGTGCAGTAAACACACAGACGAGCGCTGTCATGATAATAACATTTCAAAATCGATTTGTTATTAAGGATTTGAATCCATACTCAATACCAATTCTGACAGCATGATTATAATAAAAACAAACTCTATTTAGACAATAGAATGTGATTTTCACCTGTCCATGGTTGTACTTTACCATGTGACCTAATATCTGTGTAATCTCTGTGTGCACTTATACTTGTTCTGATACAGATGAAAGGTCATTTCTGTTCTGTCAGTGGGACTTTGTGGCATCGATACCTGCTCCAGTGACCATCTAGTTTCAATACTAGTTTTAGTATTGGTCTGATTTTCGATACTTCTGCCTGCCATAAGGCAAAGCAATAACATCTCCATTCACACAAGGTGGTGGGCCCTCAAACTCAGTGATTGAGCTTTGACTAACAAATACCACAGTTACTATAAAAAAGGCACTAATAGACTGTATTTTTAGTAAACACACACACACAAACACACAATAATCAGATGTAATTTGGGGTTATTGGATGACTGTTGTGTGGCCATGTAAATATACCCACTGACTTAACAGAAAAACATCCAGTGTGAGCTGTCCCTATGATCTACTCACTCCAAACTCTGTCCATGAACAATGCTGCTGTCAGCTCTTCTGGCTCTGCTCCTGTTTGCTCCTGTCTGCTCCTCTGGTTCTGCTCCTCTGGTTCTGCTCCTCTGGCTCTGTTCCTCTGACTCTGTTCCTGGCTGCTTCAGTGGGAGCAGAGAGTATTGGATCAAATACAGTGAAGAGATGAACTGCAGATAACCGAGGTATTTCATAAACATGTAAAGCCTGTGGGCTGGTACTTCTCTGTCAACAGCAGCTCCTCTTCAGATCTTTTGCATCTTCTGGCATAGGACCATCAGACGCCTCTATCACCAGTTTGAAAGCTATATCAGAATTTGGAACGGAAGTAATAAAAATAATATATACATTATTTTATTTTGAAAGTTAAAGGTGACTCTTCTATCTTCTTGCCTCCATGGAGATATATGCCATGAAGGCACAAACACACACACACACACGCACGCACACACACACACACACACACACGCTGGCTCTCTTCCTGTATGCTCCTCTGGCTCTGCTCCTGTCTGCTCCTCTGGCTCTGCTCCTGCCGGCTCCTCTGCCAAACTGTCAATAACCGAGGTATTTTCTGGTGCCCTGGTGGACTGGTTCTTCTCTGTCAGCAGCAGCTCCTCCTCAGACTCTGGATCTTGGCAGAGGACCATAGAACGTCTCTATCACCAGTGTGGAGGAAATAAGGGCCACATGATTTTATTTCAACACTACTACTTTGTGTGGAAAATTAAAGGTGCACTGTGTAACTTTTCTGGTGACTTAGACATAGACAAACTTTCTTGATCCACAAGGAAAATTATTTGGACACAGTAGCTCACACATCACAATGAAAAAGGTGGCGGACCCTCCATCAGAAAAGTTCCATAGTGCATCTTAAAGTGAAAAGATGAGAGGATGTTTGTTATTAGGGATCAAAATCAGAATCAAGTATGAAGCCTGCTCCTGGAATGCCTCATGGTGTTGGCTGAAGTGAGCAGTGAACATTTGTCAGTTTTGGAGTTTAAAAACACAGTGGAGCATTACAGCATGACATCACAAAGTGGAACAGACTGTTTTATGTTTTAGAGAAGAACTCATCCCAAATATGCAGGATTTGTGTGTTAAACATGTGAATGAAACAAAACACAACTCCAGAAACGACGAAAACCGAAAACAGCACAACATGGGCCTTTTAAAATGTTTTTAAAGAGAAGAATATTTACAGAGAACCATAATTTGTTTCTGAGAGTGTGTAGATTAATTACAGAGATTTAAACTGTCCCCATTTTAGTTAATACACTCTCATTTTTCCAGTTATTTATTGCAAAGTCGTGCAAGTCCAATGAAAAGCTTGAAATTGTACAAAGGTAAGAACTGAACAGACAGAGGTAAAAAAAAAAAAAAAAAAAAAGATAAAAGAACAAAACACAAGTCCAAGCTCTGCCAAAACTACCTCAGGAAAAAAGAACAAGATGGTGAACTTGAAAACCTGGAGTGTCCAGCAGCACAGTCTCCAGACTTAAAGGTTGTATGGAGGATTTTTTTTTGTTTGTTTTTGTTTCAAGTTGTCAATGATAGCATTATAGAGGTGCAGTAGCCTTGTAATTATGATGACCAAAAAAAAGAGAATAAAAATTCATCAACTCTGGACGTGGTGGGGCCAGCTAAACATTTGCCAATAGATAACGACACTGCCTCGTTATCTGTTAGCTGACAGGCTGTCAATCAATCTCCCTAAGTTTCTAGCGTAACTGACTTGCCTGCGCGCCGCCGGTACGTGGTTTACGTACGCCTGTCACGCAGACGCAAGCCGCACAGACGCTGTTTACTCCACCAACGCAACAGTTCTTAGCGGCTTTTTTTGACCTATATCTTCCTCGCAGTTAGCACAAAGTTTGTTGCAATGGCGACAAGAATCCAGGAGCAGTTAGCCGCAAAAGAAAAGTCCGTTTTTGAGGTCGCTGAAAGAAGAAGACAAGGGGAAAAGCAGCGAAGCCAAACTAAGGTGATTCTTGTAGATTCATTCCAGCGATGGCGCAACTGAAGCAGACGCATTGGTCGCCAAATTACTCCTGGACAGGTCACTTCTGCTTATTATGAAAACGTACTTTATTTCCAAGAGCTAGACAAACGTTTTTCAGGACACGAAAGCGATATCCTATGTCTGAAAACGTAATTTTCAAGGCAAAGAAAGAGTCCGCTTGCTGCTGCGTGTTGTAGCTAGTTCATTCGCACGGAATCTCCGCGCAACCTTCTCTGCACCCCTTTCCTGTCCCCGCTGCCCGATCCGCTCTTTCCCCTGCTCCTCAGTTCTCCGGGCACGGAATCTCCGCGCACCGCTCCCCTCTCCTCTCTCCTCTCTCCTCTCCCTGCTCCGCTCTTCTCCCTGCTCCTCACTTCTCGTCCGTGAACGAAATGTCCGCGCACCCGCTCCCCCCGCTCCTCACTTCTCCGTCTTGCCTAACCAACACTGTAGTTAGTTGTTTACAAGTCATGTGCAGCACCGGCTGTAAACAAACCTGTTTCTGGCGTAGTGAGGAGGCGGGAGAAGGCGTTTCTACGTAGGGAGCTGTAGGGGAGGGGGGGGTGGTTTCACGCATGCGCAACATTTGAAAAAGGACAAACAGTCGCTGGATTTCTCGTTCCTTGGAAAATCCTCTATACAACCTTTAAACCCCATCAAGCTGGTTTGGGATGAACTGGACAGAAGAGTGAAGCAACCTACAAGTGCCACAAATTTATGGAAATACTGCAACAGACTTGGGAAGAACTGTCTGAAGAATATTTGATTTCTATTGTAAAAAGAACGAGCCACGAGTGTGTTCAGCTGTTATATCTGCCAAAGGTGGACACTTTCATCAATCAAACAGAAGACGTTTTGGTCAACAATAAACAGTAAAACAAACTGGATAAAGTGTGGTGTTCTAAGATTTTTGACCGGTAGTGTATCTCTCCAACAGAGTTCTGAATTCTATATTGTGCTGAAGAAGTCACAGCGTGAATCATAAATGCCTATAGCTTTTGTACATGTGTCACTGTGATGGCTGATTTGGGCTCTCACAGTGACTCATGGTTTATATGGTTCTAACTGTTCTCATCTAAAGCCGTGGCTCTTACTTACTCCAGTTTTTTGGATTGTTAACATTTGTAGAAGTTGGATAATGCTTCACAGTATGGCATTAAACAGATCTGCAAATGTGTTCCCAGAATCATGCATGTGACAGAGAAAATCAAAGTACAGCTCGTATTTCGTGTCTCACATCTGGCTCTTTTCTCTCTGCCGCTGAGAAGTTTTGCAGAGCCGAGTTTGGCGCATGATATGCGGTCTGTCTGAATGCGCCATGAGCCTACCTGCTGCTTACAGTAAGCGTGGAAGAGCGCGCTCCTCTTCTTCTGCAGAAAGCAGTCTGCAGAGTGACCTCAGCGGGACAAGCATGTGCGCCGCGGCTCCTGACGTCACCGGCGGAGCTCCATATTTGGTCCGAGCGCACGCACTTAAAGCGCTCCATCAGGACGCGTAGACAGACACACCGCCACAGCTCCTCACGGGAGGGACCACAGCGGAGTAGCACCCGAGAAAAGCGCTCAAAATGCGGATTCATACGAGACAAGCGCCCGTGTTGGTGGCGGTACTTTTGCACATCTGTCTGAGCACGTCGCTCGACCCCGGTGAGTCTCTTTTTTATACTTTAATATTCAGCTTAGACCTCTGCAGACGAGTTCAGACATGCTTTCGTGATATTAGGGCCAGTGATCATGCCTGCCTCGGAATTTTCCTTTCTAAAAGTTTCTCATGGAGGGGTTAGGTCCAGACTGCATCGATTTGGATTTTAGTTTATATTTTGATGAGTAACCGACCTGAAAGCGCGTTCACCAATCACCTGAGCCTCACTGGCCACGGACACGCCATTTCCAACCGTTAGACCTGCCAAGATTTATGTCAAAAATCAAACATTCTGTGTTCTACTCTAAGAACACGTAATTTAAGAGGTAAGAAATTGTTTTAAAAATGTCGTATTTGCAAACTGGCTATGTGTAACTTTTTTAGCCAGAAAACAGACAATATATTTATGTATTTTTTTTTATTATTATTTGGTTGCGTTTATTGCATTGAAAAAATTGGCATGTGTCTTTACTGTTGGCAGGCTTGCATCTCCACAAACCTGACTCCTTTTTGGCTTGTCGTCGTTTAAATGCACCGATTAATCTTTTTTTTTCTTTTTTTTTTTCTCGTTCCGATACCGATATCCATACAATGACTATCTGCCGATAATCGATACTAATGCAAGGATGGAAAACGGCAATTATTTCCTTAAAATACGGTTAACTCATTCCAAGAGATCCAACTGTGTTATGTAAATGTCCTGTATCCTGTTAAGTGTCAAATCTAATTCCATCCAGTTAAAGGCCCAACCACAGGCATCATGAAAACAATTCCCGATCTAGTTCATTTTTCAGCATCAGTATCTGCACATCCCCAGTTTCTTTGGCTACAATATTCCACAGTATGGCATAAAACATGTCGATCTCCATGGAAAATGTCATAGAGCATTGCTTTAACTTTCTGCTTTTCCATGGATTCATGCAGGTGAGGCCCTCTTCAGAAACGTTACATGGTGTAGTTTGAAGTGCAGACTTGTACATGTACATGTAATACATGTACGTTTACTTGAGTCCAAACCCTCTGTCCTCTTTCCAGTGCTGCTTGTATCCTAAAGCCTGTTGCATTTTCGCACTCTGGGTTTAGGGAAGTTCTTGAATGTGAGCTGTAATCTGTCTGTTTCTGTATTCAAATGAGTTTCTCGTGTTATGCAAGAAAGTCCTGAGATTTCACCAGATACACCAGTCTGTATCAACGCCCATGGGCTCAAACTGCTCTATGTCTCAAACAAAATAAATAAATCAACATAACATTAGATTAAAGCTGGAGTATGTAACCTTTCTGCTTGTCTCGATGGAGATGTCACCTGAAATGTTTCATAGCGCGACCTTAAACGTATCGTCTATATCCTACATTTATTCTATTACATTTGTTATATTGCTTATAAAATACATCGAAAAACAGCACTCGTACTGTGAGCGGGCTTGCATTTCCGAACATGTTTGCACAGATCTAAACTACAGGGTAAGCAGCTTTTAGCACAATGAGATGCAGCTTTTGCGATTTTCTTTCTGTGTCCTTTCTGTCCAGTAGTGTGTCCGTTCATGATTTCGTTCGTGATGAATCTGTCTGAGACTGCGTTCGCTTCTCTGTGAACTGAAACATTGCATCTGCCCGTGGATTCTGTGGTCTCTGTTAACATTTCAGTGTGACATTGTGAGGTCATGAGAAGTACAGCGAGCTCTGGTGTGGTCATTGAGTGGTCAGAAAGTCCACTGTCATACACTTTAATAGGCTAAGTATCCATGATGAAAGCCTGACGCAGACGGGGAAGTGGAGTGAATGTGTTAAAATAGCTTGTGTAATATATTAAAATAACTTCTCTATTTAAATAGATTACAAAATATCGTATTACTAGAGTTACTAAGCTGTGTCAAAAATATTGAAAATCAGATATAAATTTTAGTGTTGAAACTAGATAATCCTAATACCAAAAAGTCCCATTTACATGAAAGAAATGAACCTTTTCTGAATGTCTTTAGAATGATCTGGAACAAGTAGAAGAGTACATAGACTAGTACACACCCATGGACCACTGTGCACCTACTGCACCACTGACGCTTACACACATATAAGACCAAATGGGAATAGAAAAGAAAGTACTTACGATTTAATGTAGAAAGTCACATTGTATTTTCTAAATCAAGTGTCTTGAGTATCGAGTCTTGTCCTTAAAATGTGGCTTAACAACACAGATCTCACAGGAATTCTATTAATAATTTGCACATACTGTTTTATTTATGTAGGTTGTATAAGAAAGACCTTCACATTATTTATGAAATACTAACGCAGCGTTCAAAGTATACTAGTGTTTGCACAGACATACAGTAGTAATGTGTAGGACTTTGGTCATTGGAGCTGTTATTGACTTGACTGGATTGTACAGTAACCTCACTCATAAAGGTTTACGAGGAGGAGGATTGTGTTGAGAATTTAAAAATGTATCTTAAAACCCTGTACGCAGTCTTTCTTTCCCATAGATTTGAGCAGAATGTGTCTTGCTCCAGTACAGACGTATTGTATCAGCAGCTCTTCACGTCAGAATAAATCCACTGTGTATACTGTGTTTTATTATCTGATAATCAGTAAGCGCACATTAGCATGCTAGTTGTTGTGAGCTTTACCATCACAGCTCTCCCTCCTGTACTCAGCCCCTGTCTGTCCTTTGCAGCCTTGTTCCCACGGGCACAGAACATCACATGGAGGTCCAGTAACTTCAAAACAGTGTTGACCTGGGGCCCAGAGCCTACTGCCGAGTACTCCTACACCGTCGAGTTCTCACAGTGAGTACACACACACACCTCTGAGCGTGCCACTGGGCATGCTTACGTTACGTGTTTATTTTCATGGATGTAGATCAGCTTAATGCCATACTGTGGAACATTCCAGGCCAAGCAATAGCATCTTCATGGAGACAACTAAGTGATGGATTTTCTAGACGGTGCATTTTAAGTTCAGAAATGTAAATAATAAAATGTTTTTATGTGAGATTTCATACACTTATCAGTAAAGCTTGTATCATTAAGAAGTTTCAGATAAAATACACAGCTCGATACACAGGCCACGGTATGATACATGTCTCAATATAGTGAGCGTTCGATTCGATACGATTCAATAAAAAATAACAGTCAAATCATGGCTGTGATACTAAAAGTTTTTATCAAACCACTTCTTGTGCAAAGTTTATATGAAACACACCCAGTTTAATCATCAGAACAGTGAAAATGTCAAATATGTCGCATAAATGAGTTTCCTTCCTTTAATCCAGACATGTCAGACTCAGGCCCGGGGGCCACAGTCGGCCCTCGATATAATTATATTTGGCCCACGAGGTCACATCAGATATGTATGAGAGCTGCCCGCCGCACAAAGAGACTATAGAGACATTATTTATTTAAAATTTTATATTCTGCTTGTTCTGGATTCAATGTTTAAGCAAAACTATTATTAAACATTTATTTGAATAAGAAAAGGTTTAACATTACATGTCCCAGTTTTTAATTTTGGCCTCTGTGAATTTGAGTTTAACAGGCCTGTTCTAAACAAACTAAACTGTAGCTGTAACAAAATAATTTAAAATATACTCCAAAAATACTATTGGTGATATATCGATACAGCAGCCCATGATATCGATACTGTATCATCACATTAACTGATACAATATATACAATCTATATTTTCATATTTTTGCACTCCCCTGTAATTAGTAGTTTTTTGAATGGTAATTGTTTAAACATACAGCTGCCCCTTTAGCCTCATGTCTCTTCTGTTTCCATAGCAACTAGGACAATTTTACTGATACGATATAAGACAGAATCAAACAATATCATCCTGTACTGATATAAGTGCTGATATTTTCTCATTGATTTGCTGTTTGTCCCGTCTAAGCGTGCCCAGCAGCGCCCTCTCCTCTGTCTGTGGCCGCGTCTCATTTCTCTTTCCTCGCCTCCTTCTCCTTGATTCCTCTCCTCGGCTCTGCAGGAAATGGATGAGAAAGTCCCACCCGAAGAGGAGACACGGGGAGCAGAAAGGACCTAAGCTCCTCGCTGAGACCACTACAGTTTGATTATTTTCTCTCATGTCAAGGAGAAGGAAGCGAGGAAAGAGAAATGAAACGCGGCCCGTGTTTGTCCCGTCTGAGCGTGCCCAGTAGTGCCCTCTCTTAGGTGACCTTGAGGGGGGGCAGATAAACAGAAGGAGCGGCTAAAAGCATGTGCCTGGTGGAATGTCCCGGAACAGAGCAATAAAAAGATCAAGATCAAAGGAGAGGTGTTAGAGAAAGAGAAAGAGAGAGAGCACAGGAGAGAAAGTGAGAGAGTGAGAGAAGAGAAAGAAGAAAGAGAGGAGAGGGAGAGTCATTAAGACACTGTGGCATTGGAGCTCACAATAGCAGGAGGGGAGGGGTTTTGCTCTGGGGAAGTATTGAATAACTGATAACTGAATTCAACACATGCAAAGAGAACTGGAGCTGGATGTTTTTACACCAGATGCCCTTCCTGTCACGGCTAACCACATCTCTTGCCCACAGCAGCAGCAGCACATGCGTTGATCTGCTTTGCACATTTTCACTGTTTTTAGTCAAAGACGCAATATGAGACTCTGCTTTCTGCTTGTCTCCTTCAAGATGTTCTCACATAATCAAAAATGTACCGCAGTATGGCATTAAAAGTTTGTAGAGAAGCAGGCCCATGTTAAAGATCAGATCCAAGCGTGTAGTAAGAATCAGGGTTTTCAACGTGTTTTTGTGTGTCACAAACACTTGTAGATGGAACAAAAGTGGATGCCTTGGACCATGAAGCCATTACACCGTCCTGAACTATAATCCGCACACACACACACACACACATACACACAAACAGAGCCCCTTCCTGTGTTGTGATTTTTCTGGGAACAATTAGTGATTCTCATTCTTTCACACAGAGGTCATGTGCCGCCCTGTGGGGGGATGGTTTTCTGGTGCTGGTTTGGTTCTGTTTAGTCCTGGTCCTGTATTAATCCTGGTTTAGCCTTGGTTTAATCCTGATTTAGCCCTGGTTTAATGCTAGTTTTGTTCTACTTTATTTCTGTTTTAGCCTTGTTTCAGTCTTGGTTCAATCCTGGTTTAGTCTTGGTCTAGTCCTGGTCTAGTCCTGGTTTTGTAGAGTAAACTTCTCAGACAATCTCAACATTTACCAGGTCATCTTACAGTCACATTATGGAACTTTTTAACCAAGAAACAGACTACAGTAAAAGCTTGTGTTTGTTGCTCTGAGAACATGCGTCCTTACTGTGGGTGGGCTTGCGTCTCCACAGACCTGACACATTTGGCCTGGACCATGGGTTAGGCTTTAGATATAATGTTTCACAGTATTGTATTAAACTGATCTATGGAGAATGTTCTAGTGTTGGCTTTCACTTTGGACTTCCACAGAATCAGAATTTTGTCAAAGTCAAGTGATCACAAACACAACTGTCACTGCTCAGATATTTGGTCTTGGGCCTGATTTTTAGTGAATATAAACTTGGACGTGGTTAATATGCTTGTAAATACAGAATGTGTCTACATAAAATCCTTCTCTGTCAACACTAATGAGCTCAAGTGAAATAATTGAGAAAAAAGATCATTCTGGCACAGCTGTGGTTGTGCACTCGAGTCACACCATGAGATGAATGGACCGACTCTGGGGAGATCTAATGACGCTCCATCAGTTTGTGCCTCTCCCACAGGGTGATACTGACCCCTGCTCTCCATCTGAGGCCCCACTCGTGACATCATCAAATACAACCACGACAACGCAATTCTCATCAAACCCAGATGTTAATTTTCTCATTTTGGTAAACTCAATCAAAACATGAAAGTTGAAAAGTGCCCCACGAAACTTCAGACGTCTTATGAACGTGCAGATCGTGTCTATGTTGTGTTCATCGGTACAAGACCAATTCTGGACTAAATGACGTGCAAATTACGGCCAAGTGCAAATTGCGACAAGTGACTCACAACAAGAAGGTTCTGGGTTCGATCCTGGGTTTCCTGGACCTTTCTGTGTGGACTTTACATGTTCTCCTCGTGTCTGGGTGGATTTCCTCCAGGCACTCTGGTTTCCCCCATCAACCCAACCCAACAAAACATTTAACATAAGTCTCCAGGAAAAATAGCTCATAGCTAATGGAGGTAAGTTAAATACAACATCAACCATAAAAATGGTCTAAAAGGGCAGCACTAGTGGGCAGCAGTGTAGCTCAGCTGCCAGAGCGTTTGTTCACTGATCCCAAGGTTGGTGCTCTCTCCACATAAACATCATTGGTTGAGCCTCTGATCCACTGACCCACAGACGTGAACTTTCACGCAGATGGGAACATTCACGCAGATGGGAACATTCACACAGACGAGAACATTCACACAGATGGGAACATTCACACAGATGGGAACATTCACACAGACATGAACATTCACATAGATAGTGGTTCCCCTTTTCTGCATCACTATAGGAAAAACAAATGTCATTACTCGATGTCTGGAAATCATTGAAGAAAAGACAACCCTAAAAAGACGTTTCTTTGCACAGTGAGACAATGCACTAATTTTCTGCTTGTTTCCATGGATATCTTACTGCTCTGTCTGCGTAGCGAGCATCTATCTAATAATATATGTTTTGTTTGTTTTTGTTTTTTTTGCTCAAAAATACTTTGACAAACATGTGACTGGACATGCTCACTGAAACATGCTCACTGTGAGGGGGGTCGCCTCTCCACAGATATGACCTGTAATTTGTCCTGGTTGGGCTACCTGCTTGTCTCCATGGAGAGATAATGTTTATTGATAGGCTGTTGTAAGGGGAGCGTGTGGTCACTGTCCCCGCTCGTGTGTGTGCAGGGTGGGCAGAGACCGTCAGAGGAACCTCCACTGTATCCAGACGTCCCAGACCAAGTGTGACCTGACCAATGACCTGAGAGATCTGCTCGTCTGCTACACCGCCGACATCATCTCAGAGCCACCCACGGGAACCACCAACGACCTCCAGGAGTACCCCCATGCCAGCTCCCCGCGCTTCTGCCCTTATAATGACTGTGAGTACCCCCATGGATTCAAGACAGATATATACACTTATTTAAATGAACTGTGCAAAGCCTGCTCTCTTACTCATTAAAAAAAACAACTACTGAACCTGTGCAGATGCAGATAGAAACACATTCAAGTGTGTCTCATTCTCAGTTTAGGGACTGGCCTCATGTGAAGCTCAGAACCTCCAGAATTCCCTCCTTGAGCTGCAGAGGCTGCACTAGTACTGACTCATGACTGGTGCAGGTGCTGGATTTTGTCCCAATGATTTTGTAATTAAGAATAAATCAACATTACAACTGTTTGGACATGTTTACCTCGTATCTGAGGACACTTTTAGCTGGTTTATGAATTTTAATCAAATCAAAATCTTACATATAGTTCCTTAAGCAAGTTGGGTCAAAATTCAAATGAAACTTCATTCATAAATCTACAAATACAACTCCAGGTCTGTTTGTGATGAGGAAACAACATTATAACAGATCAGAAAACATAGGTACAGTGTGCAGTTTTTCAGGTGGTAACCCCCTTGTCTCCATGGAAATGTTCTTACTCCAGAGCTCTCCAACCTGTTCCCTCTGGTGTGTTACCTTTACAAAACAAAAATGCTGGAGAGCAACTCATTTGTGCAGTCACAAGAAAAGTCAATATAAGAGGCGAGCCTTAGATGGTGTACAGTTAGATATATAAAAACATAAAAGCATTATCCGTTTATTAGTGCACAAAGTTAAAATAACACATTTACAATGATAATCAAATTTGAGTTATTCAGCACAATATGTATAATTCAGAAATTGCTTGGTGGGCTCCTTGTAAAGGGGAGGAGAGCTGGTAACACCTGAGTTACAGGTTCTTCTGTTCTACTCTGTCTGTCTAACTAGCAACTAATTTTACACATAGAACGATTTGTGAACATTTGAATCAAGTGCATGCAGTCTTTTTTTAAATTCTAAATCTTGAATGCAACTGTGTTTCATGTGTGGAAATAGTAACTCGTAAGACTTTCTTTAGATTTCTGTTGAGGTTAGAATAGCCAGTTGAACATTTGAACAAAATGAGAATGATACACCAAAAAAACAATGCATAACATGTTTTAATATGAAAAATGTGTGTGTTTGTGTCCAGCCAAGCTCCTGAGCCCGTCCTTTAAACTGGAGGTCAGTCCGGATGAGAGGAAGACCACTGTCCACGTCACGGACCCCCTGACCGCCGCCTTTCAAGACGGCCGCCAGCTCAGCATCAGGGATGTGTTCAGAGACGAGCTGGAGTACAAGGTCACCTACTGGAAGAACAAGAGCACGGGCAAGGTACCAGACCATAACTAAGACCCAAGTAGGACTGCACCAGGACTAAATAAGGACTGAACCCAATCTAACCTCTGCTCTGTTTGTCCCTACAGAAAGTGGCCACCTCCAGCTCTAACTTGGTGGAGGTGCCTGGTTTGGACCGGGGGCAGAGCTACTGTTTCCAGGTGCAGGCTAAGGTCCGATCCAGACCCACATCCTCACAGCTGGGTGAGTTCAGCCAGACCCAGTGCACCAACCAGCGGGACCCTTCACTCCTGGACCGTAAGTCTAGCACACAAATGCACTAACATGAACAAGAACAACAGCAGCAGCAGTGCAGCTTTCAACACGGAGGAGAAGGAATGTGTGTGTTCCACTTCCACTCAGGACACACAGTACTGTACTAAACAAGAACTTTGACAAAAGAAATGGTACATGCTAGTACTGCACAGTGTATCACAAAATATTTATACTGTCATTTAGCAAAGGGAAAGGCAAAAAAATTTTTTTTTCAAGACTTTTAAAAATTGATCACATATCACTTTTCTGCAGGAACTGAAGGAGCTGTTCTTGAATGTGTAGTAAAATGTATTCACTTTTCCAAAAATCCAGTTTACAAAAATCAACCTCCTTTTGTTTTTTCACACAATAGGATTTGTTTTACATTATTGAACATAGTTATTGATGTTTCATGTCATGCAGCTCTAGAAGAACCAAAACACCGCATGGTTGGCATTGACAACTTGGCTAAAATATTGTAGTTGTTTTTTTAGCTAAAAATAAACTATTTTGTTATTTTTATTGCGCTAAAAAAAGAGAAAAACAGGCATAATCACTTGACCTGGGAAGGCCCCCGCTGCTTGTTTCCATGCACCAGCACTCACTCGTGACTGGTGAGGCAGTGCTGATTTTTGCTGTAATCTTCAACATTATGGCATAAAACATCTTTCTCCATGAATCTGGTTTTAACTTTCTGTTCCATGGAATCATGCAGGTCCAGAAAGTTACACAATGTTTCTTTACAACTGTTTTGACAATGTTTCAATGACAAATGTATCAGTAAAAGTTATATTTGATACCTCATATGGGGTGACACACACATAGGTATTTATGTAAAATTTGAATTCAGAATTCTCTATACTCCACCTTTAAGTACAAAGCTTTGTAAACAATCAAATAATGAAATATGAACTCATTAATACTGATAAGGTCCAGAACAGGCCTCACACCATGGTTCTGACCCGGGCCCTGACCTGTCCTTCTTGTTCACAGAGTACTCAGTGGGTGTGATCGCTGCAGCCGTGCTGCTGCCCCTCCTGCTGGTGGGAGGGCTCATTGCACTGATTGTGATTTGCTGCAGACGCAGGAGTGAGAAGAGAAGCAGTGTGAAAGAGAAGGAGGCCGAAGCGCTAAACGTGTGACTGTGAGTGTGGGGCTGTGAACGCACCGTGATGCATTCGCTGACTTTAGTTTCCGTGAAACTGCACCACACACGTCAGTAGTGGTTATGTACTGTATAAATGTAATATATGTTTGTATGGAGTATAAGGGAACACTAAGCTGGGGCTGTGCTCTGGTCTAATGCCTGCTGTTTAATATGAATGTATTTTACTGTATCATGTGGCCAGTGTAGGAAATAAAAACACGCTATAGGTTGGGTTTATGTGAACCAATATACCAATGTAGAATTGTCAACATTCTAGAATTCCTCTTCTTCTAATCTGAGGCAGGAGTTTGATGTGAAACTGTCAGATTGCAGATTTGTGGACCTGTTTATGGTTCATATCTCTATTTTTTTTTCCTCAGAAGAAAAAAGTGCCATTATTAAACTCCAAAGACGTAATGTTGTCCGGTGAAAAACCAGGCCTTTGCTCCACCTGAGACTATGACATCAAAATTCAAGAATGTTGACATCCTGAGTTATACCTTTAGTTTTGGGGGTTTTTAATGTTTAATTTAATGTTATCTACTGATAGCAGTTCTCACACTTTGATCCATCCCGACACTGATCCTGGGGTAGTGGGTCTGTGGTCCAGCTGCACTTTCACTTGGGACCTTGTCAGCCACATGAATCTACAAACTCTTGATGTGCTCAACTCTTTATAGAGGGTTACACCTGTCAGTCTGGAGAGAGCCATCTTATTTATGTAAATCCAGTTTTCACTGTACAAAGGAGAGCGCTGCTGTAACACTGCCCCCTGTCTGTGGAGGGCAGGCCTTACACTCTAACTTCATAGTTTGTGTATATTTGGGGTAGCTAGAGTTATTGTATCTTTATACACCATTAGCATTATAAAGTCCTGTCTCTGCATTCTGTGTAGCTCTGAGATATAATGGTTTAATCCATTTCTGACCAGTCATGATCTTTTTTCCATAAACCTAAATAAAATGACCATACACTTCAGTTTTATAAAAGTTCATGAACAACCTTATCATTCGAATGGGATGCTGTGTGTGTGTGTGTGTGTGTGTGTGTGTGTGTATACGTGTGTATACGTGTGTATGTGTGTGTGTGTATGTGTGTGTGTGTACGTGTGTGTGCCTGGGTGTTGTCTAGTTGGATGTAACATAATCTTATATAAGTGTATGAGGAAATGTACTGTATACTGTAAAGTGGTGGCTCTTAAACACTAGCTCTTTATTTATTATGATGGGACCGCTGTGGGAAATCATATATTCTATTTTTGTATTAATTTATTCTTTTTAGCGTAGAATACTTTTATATGTCTGATCTTGGCTGAATGTAATGAAACAAATAATAAAACTAAAACTGAAATATGTTGTGTTTACTTAATTTGTGCATTATTTTAAATAAATCATAATTTGCATATTTCCATAATTTTCCTGAATATCTTTAGAATAACTAGTATACATACGCCCATAGACCACTGTGGAACCTGCCTGGACCGCTGAGGGATTACACACATATCCAGACACATGGGAATAGAAAAAGTACTACCATTTAATGTTGAAAATCACATTCTAAAGCATTTGGCCCATGATATAATTATATTTGGTCCGTGAGGTCATATCAAATCTGTATTAGAGCTGCCCACTGGCCACAGATAAACTATAGAGACATTATTTATTTAAAATGTTATTATTTTATATTCTGCTTGTTCTGGATTCAATGTTTAAGCAAAACTATTATTAAACTTTTATTTGAATAAGAAAAGGTTTATCATTTCATATCTCGAAAGAAGAGAAAACACCCATGACTTAGTCCCAGTTTTTAGTTTTGGCCTCTGTGAATTTGAGTTTGACTCCCCTGCTCTAAGGAGTCTAAAGTGTTTTTGTTTGTTTGTTTGTTTGTATATTTTGGTATTAGATTTGGTATTGAATATCGAATTTGAAATGTTAGTATTGTGAAAACACTACTTAGATCAGGTATTATTAAATCAACAATGTCTTAATATACTTTAAATACTTTAAAGCCATAATTCATATCTAGTGGAAGGCCTCCCCCTGGTGGCCATTCAGAAAACCTTTAACTATTTGTACAAGCATTACATAAAACTATGAGATGATTGATACACAACAATGTATTTTTATCTTCAAGTTAATTAAAAATATATTTATGACAGCACAATGATGTATTAGTATTATTATTAAAAGGAAATGAATATCAAGAAACAACATAATTGTAACATGCACATTTTTAAAACCATTTGAGCTTTTGAAAATGAACCTCAGTCAGTTTGCTGCGGTGTGAATGAACAGTGCTGTGGGAGTTACAAACAGGACAGTATCTGCAAAATGACATAAATTATAATATTTCATATTCAAAGAATACAGATACTTGACAGAGTAGACATTTTGCAAAAGTGCAAAAGTATTTATGCCCATATTTAAAGGCGCACTCTGGAATCTTTCTGGTGAATTCAAGGGCATACTGGCAATCTGTGCAATCTGGAAAAGTCCAGAACAGCTGCCTGGTGTAGCAACCGTCAGCCATACAGCAGCGGGCTGTAATACCACAGTAATAAAAGCCCCTCCATAGAGCTGTTTTTTGGTCCCAGCACATCCCTGTTATTGTGTGAGAATCAGGAACTGCACATTAACACATGCTAGGTGCTGTTAGCTTTACTGTGACAGGCATCTGGTCTCTGAGTGAAAAGTGCTTCTAAACTCATTGTGATAAAAAATATTTAAAATTAACTTGTTCTGTTTGTGACATTTTAAGGCTGTAAAAAATCAGATACAGTGTGTTAATGCTCTACTGCGGAACATTACAGGTAAAGAAAATATATGTATTTGCAGAGAGGTTACATTGTGAACCTATATTGACTCTTGTGAGCTTTTAGCCATGTTATAATGTTACCGCCTCAGAAACAGACCTGGACTTTCACCTTGTGACCTCATGCAGTTACAGTTTACAGATGAACAGCTCCTTTTACCTTTAGTTCAGAAGAGATTGACAACTCCAGGGCTGTAATTATCCAAATAATTTCAGTGAAGGTGTATGGAGTTTAAAAACACAGTAGAGCACTTCTTGTATTACCACATGACATCACAAGGTGGAACAGACTGTTTTCTGTTTGAGAGAAGTATTCAGCCTAAATGTGCAGGTTTATGAATGAAACAAGACACTGTTTGTGATGAGGAAACAGCATTATAACAGAGATGAGAAAACAGAGTAATACATAATAAAGACAGGAACAGATTATAGCAGAATCTACACGTCACATTTCCCTGAGCGTGCTTCTTTGCTTGGGTTGCTGGTTCTATTCCCAGCGGTGCGAGGGCAGCTGGGTCTGATACACGCACTTCCCGTCCGTCTGCGTGAAGCTGACCGTCATGTGACCTGGGTGGAGCTGGAAGTAGGCCACACCCCCTTTGGTTTGATTGACAGGGCTGGAGAAGAGCTGCCAGGCCTGGGGCACGCTGCTCCTGTGGGCAGTGTTTTGGTCAGATAACACACCGGTGCCGCTGACCACGTATGCCGCCCCGTCATCTTCAAGGATGAACTGAAAATACACAGAGAGGACAGCAGTACATTAGGCTCATTTAACCCACTTTTAAACAGCACCGGTATTTCATAATATATTATTTTATGGGTTTATACTTTGTTAGTTTCTGATCTGTGTTATAATGTAGTTCCCTCATCACAAACAGACCTGGACTTGGGTTTTGTTTCATTCACACATGTTTAACACACAAACCTGCACATTTAGGATGACTTCTCCTCTCTGTTCCACCTTGTGATGTCATGTAGTAATTAGAGCCCGACCGATATATCGGTTGGCCGATATTATCTTTAGGCATATCGGCTATCGGCCGATATGCTTGCTGATAGGGGCCGATATTTCACGTGGGCATGTTATATTTCGTTATAAAGCTTAGACTCTCTACATTCTGTTCATTTAATCCAATTTACAGACAGATAAATGTCCTAATATGTGGCTCCACATCAGTATTTATCTACGGAGTCATTTGTGTGTGTGTCCTGAACACACCACAGAGTCGTGTCACTCACGTGTGTTTGTTTACACCTGCAGACACAGATCCAAACACTGAGATGATATTCTTTTTACGGACAATCGGTTTGAGTCTGGATTAAAAGGACATTTATTAGTTTGTGATGTGAGGAGGAGCCTGTATGAACGGTGAGTGTTGGAAATATGTCGACTCTGAAGCTAGTTTTTGTCATTTGTTATGGGTTAGCTGCTGTAGCTCACGCACATAAACAGACTGTTTTCTATTGGTCTGTTCTAAAGTGATTATATTGGCCGTATATTTGCTACTGGACCTGCACTGATATGTAAATGAGCTGTGAATAGAGGTGTGAATTATGACATTTGCGCATATAATTAATTACCGCGGCGCGCACGTATTTACGTCTAAAGGCTAATAGCGCAACTTTCTTTACTAGTTATGGGTCCGTCGCGAACGAAATGACTCTTAGAACCGGCTCGTTGAAGGGAACGACGGGAGCCTGATCCTTATTGGGAGTCGTGTTTTCTCTTTCTCTCATTTTTTTTCTCTTCACGCCACGTGATTCGTGGTTTGACAGCAGCAGCGGCTAAAAACGAAACTTTGAGAAATTTGCGTGTACGTAGGATTAAAAAAAAAAAAAAAAAGCATATTTGACTGTAGTTTAGCATAAAATAAATAAGTCCCGGTTTAGTCCTTTTTCAGTCCTGGTTTAGACCTGGTTCAGTCCTGATTCAGTCCTGCTTTAGACGTGCTTTAGTCCTGCTTGCAACAAAACAATCTGAAGAGTCGCTTGGGAGCCAAAAGAACCAGCAGCTTTTAGTGAGCCGAGCCAAAAGAGCCGGTTCTCTAAAAAGAACTGGAATACCCATCACTAGTGTCTAGAATGTGATGCAAAAATGCCATTAAGCCAACCTACTGTCTGTAAATATGATGTAAAGAGGCAGAATAACAATAAATGTTGCCTAAATAAACCCAGTTTAAAATCCACCAGAGCCAAACCTAAGTTTTTTAAACAATTCAACATTTACAGTGAATTTTTACATCACTAAATATATCGGTGATTATATCGGCTATCGGCAGCTCCAACTCCCATTATATCGGTTTCATATCGGCCACAGCAAAATCCATATCGGTCGGGCTCTAGTAGTAATATAGTGTTTTAAACTCCATACACCTTTACTAGAATCATTTAGATCTAAATCTCTGCAGACCTAAAGGTAAAGGTAGCTTTTAACTTGAAAACTACTACTTGATGACATCACAAGGTGCAACAGAACATTTTGAGCATTGGAGATAGACTAATAATAAAGGGTTACTCAAACAACTGTTTTTGAGGAGTCAATTTTGCATATATAGGACTTTAAAATGAACTGTATGTAGTCTGCACTTATTAGGTTAGAAAAAAGTAAGACTCCCAGAGCCTTAACCTGCAGATAGAGACATCCGAGTTTGTCTCATTCTCTTTGTGTGGGATACAGGCCACGCCTCATGTGAAAGCTCATAAAACCTAAATTCAAAGTTTGATCCTTAAAATAAAGTATATGGAAGTTTTGTATCTGTAGTTTATGTTGCTCTGAGGAGGGAGGCCGTTAAGATGAGGTGAAAACAGGAGCTGCTCACTTCAGAACATGTGTAGGGAGGTCTGTTTAGGTGTGTGTACAATCCCTCAGTCGTCCAGCTAGAATCCATGGCAAAGGAGAAATTCAATTTGTTGAGTGGACAAACGTTTATTTTGGTCGGAAACATTTCGCAGCTCATCCAAGCTGCTTCTTCAGTTCTGGTCAGATGCTGGAGGACACTGCCTTAAATCTGCCTGCAGGGAGGAGCTAACTACACTGAAACTACTCTGAAACTAACACCCTACTTGTTTACAGTTTCGAGAGAACATTATGGGGAGTCAGGTCAGGGCCAGAGGTCATTATGGGCCTGAATGTTTATGCTAATATGAAACCACACTCACACGAACAGGCCTAGCTACCTAACAGAAACTATAAACAAGTAGGGTGTTAGTTTTAGAGTAATTTCAGTGTAGTTAGCTCCTCCCTGCAGACAGAGTGTCCTCCAGCATTCTGACCAGAACTGAAGAAGCAACTTGGATGAGCTGAAAAGTGTATTCAACCTAAATAAACGTTTGTCCAGTTGACTGAGTGAATTTCTCCTTTGCCGTCTGTTTAGGAGAGAAAACACAGTCAAAGGATCCAGACACTGGGCTGTAAATGACACTTTAGTGCTATTATTATTATTATTATTATTATTATTATTAATTATACATCATCCACTGTTTGTGTTTAACAGAAGATGTGTGTGTAGCATATCTAAAAGGTGTATGCAAGGGACAAAGGGGTGGAGTTGGTGTAGGTATAGGGCTAGAAACAGAAGGCTAGGCTGCGGCTCTCTGGGAGGTAGGGAAGCAGTAAAAAAACCACAAGAAACTGCAGAGCTATGGTTGGTGCTATATATTGAAAGTGAAGAGAAATATATACAATATTTACAATATTCCCAATAATCTGCAGATTTTCCAAGTCTGGTTAATACATTTGAAACAATACGAAAACAACAGTAGCGAATAAGTCACTTTGTTAGTGTCCTTATCATTGTCCATAAACAAAATGTGAAATTTAATGTCCACAATTCGTGTTCATGTGTCCATATAGTCTTTTAGGGGGTGCATGTGTGTAATTATCCATACGCGCGTTGAATAGGTGAAATGCGGGAGCGGACAGGCTGCAACAGCCCCTACCCGACCGTAGAAGCTGTTTGAAGTATCGTGAGTTGTAGGCAAAGTTCCTGGGTTCAGCTCGCCATCGGAATGTTTTTTTCAACCGGAATCACCTGGCCAATTCCCTTGTGTTATCATTTTATACGCTCTTTTCGGCATCGGATAGTAGCGGTAAGGGCTCCTGCGCAGCCGTCCAGTCTCGCCTCACTCCCGGGTGTGTATGGAGGGAGGGGAGCAGGTGACTTATTGAAAGCGTGAGCGCGATGCGTTTAGTGACCGGTCGCGGTTGGAATATTCGCTATTGACGGTAGATTTGTATATTTTAACCTGGGTTGCATGTGCATTGCCCAAGGACACAACAGTAATTTGAGTGAACATAATTAGCAAATCACAAAGGCTGCAGTGTTTGATCATTTTCACCACAAACCACACGATCTCCTGTCCTGTCTCACTCTGCGTAAAAGCTGCTCACCCTCTAGTTTAGATATGTACAAACATGCTCTGAAATGTGGTTCTTGTATTAGTTTGTCATTTAAGTTTCAGTCTTTCTATCAATTTGTGAATGTGAACTTTGAATAGAATCTTATTATTAAACTATAATATGACAAAAATCAAAAATCACAATTATTTTTCACAAATCGTTCAGCACTAATCTTCATGGAGACAAGCAGAATACGAATCCTCCATCTGAAAAGTGACATACTGCACTTTTAAATAAGAATAATACACAATAGTACATTTCAGTCAGCTCAAGCGCCTTTAATAGCAGAGTTTTGAAAGAAGATAGTACATTAGTCATATAATCTAACTGATAGTAGAGCGTCTGTAGTTTAAGGCAGGGTGTGGTAGTACCTGCAGGTTGTGGTCGTGTCCGCTCAGGTAGGCACTGACCCTGTACTTCTTGAGCAGAGGTCTGAGTCTGTCCCTGAGGCAGGCGGTGGGGCCATGGTGCCCGATGGACCACACCGGGTAGTGCCCAGCCACCAACACAAACTCTGACCTGAACGAAAACAGACAACAGTTCTCAGAGTCCAAAGCACTGCATGTTATAGTACAGACAACAGAAGCATACTGTAGAGCTGAATTAAAGTCTTATTGAAAAATACCTAGCTGCAGGGTTAACGGAGGGTTGTGAATGTTATAGGTTAATAAAGGAAGAAAGAGTACAAAGAAATCCCCAGACAGGGAGAACATGCAAACTGCAAAATGGAGAAGAAACAGTATGATATCTGTGGGTATCTCTTTAGTTATCTTTCTAAACATTACATAAATGGCGTTAGTGTATTTTATAGATTAGTATGAAATATAAACAACTAAGTATGATCGAAAACAAATATGGCATCCTCAGTGTCACTTTTAGGCTTGGGACGTTTATCTGTCCTAAAAGTGTCTTCAAAATGGTCTTTGAATCCTCTCAGGTCCACAAGCACATCAACATCAAGGCTGGTGGAAAAACAAGGACAAGACACAAAACTTATTACTGTTAATGAGAAAATGGACATAATAATGTTGAGAGGCTTGGCCAGAAGAGCACATCAAAACACGCAGAGCTTTGTTCCAGCAAAGACAGCAATGCAGTGAGGAATCAACAACACCAAGAAGTGGAAAATGGACTTTGTCATGAGAGAGCGCAGGACTCTAACATGGTGCTACATTTCTCTTTCAAGGAAGACGCCATTGCATTTGCTGAGAAAAATGGTTGCCGCTATGAAGTAACAGAGAAGAGGAGCGCCAAGCCCTGAGTGAAATCCTATGAGGCAAACTTCTCGTGGGACAAGAGAACACGGAGCTCTGCCCAATAGAGTGAAGTATTCCAAAGTTATAGAATACCTCATTTTATATGTGTAGATCTGATGTGTTACGTGGTCAGCATCCACTTTTTGTTCGGTTATCAGGAAGTGTAGATAAGCATGCTAGTTGTTAGTTTTACTGCAAACCTCAATTTATAAACTCATCATGGTGAATTAATCAGGATGCTCAGGATAAGGTAACTGAGGAAGAACTTCAGACCACTGCAAACTAGTTCTGTTTTTAAGACAGGAAAAACAAGCTCAGTGTCTTTAAAAAACAGATCCTAATGATAACTCTGCACTCTAGTACTGACTGTGTAGTACTGACTGTGTAGTAGTGACTGTGTAGTACTGGCTGTGTAGTACTGGCTGTGTAGTACTAGCTGTGTAGTAGTGATTGTGTCGTAGTGATTATGTAGTAGTGACTGTGTAGTACTGACTGTGTAGTATTAGCTGTGTAGTAGTGATTGTGTAGTAGTGACTGTGTAGTACTGGCTGTGTAGTACTAGCTGTGTAGCAGTGACTGTGAAGTAGTGACTGTGTAGTACTGACTATGTAGTACTGACTGTGTAGTAGTGACTGTGTAGTACTGACTGTGTAGTACTGACTGTGTAGTACTGACTGTGTAGTAGTGACGGTGTAGTACTGACTGTGTAGTAGTGACTGTGTAGTACTGACTGTGTAGTACTGACTGTGTAGTAGTGACTGTGTAGTAGTGACTGTGTAGTACTGACTGTGTAGTAGTGACTGTGTAGTACTGACTGTGTAGTACTGTGACTGTGTAGTAGTGAGTACTGTGTGTAGTACTGACTGTGTAGTAGTGTAGTACTGACTGTGTAGTACTGACTGTGTAGTAGTGACTGTGTAGTACTGACTGTGTAGTAGTGACTGTGTAGTACTGACTGTGTAGTAGTGTGACTGTGTACTGTGTACTGACTGTGTAGTACTGACTGTGTAGTACTGTGACTGTGTAGTAGTGAGTGTACTGTGTAGTACTGACTGTGTAGTAGTGACTGGTGTAGTAGTACTGACTGTGTAGTAACTGTGTAGTAGTGACTGTGTAGTACTGACTGTGTACTGACTGTAGTACTGACTGTGTAGTAGTGTGTAGTAACTGACTGTGTAGTAGTACTGACTGTGTAGTACTGACTGTGTAGTAGTGACTGTGTAGTACTGTGTAGTACTGACTGTGTAGTACTGACTGTGTAGTAGTGACTGTGTAGTAACTGACTGTGAAGTACTGACTGTGTAGTACTGACTGTGTACTGTGTAGTACTGTGTAGTACTGACTGTAGTAGTACTGTGTAGTACTGACTGTGTAGTAGTGACTGTGTAGTACTGACTGTGTAGTAGTGACTGTGTAGTAGTGACTGTGTAGTACTGACTGTGTAGTACTGTGTAGTAGTGACTGTAGTACTGTACTGTGTAGTACTGACTGTGTAGTACTGACTGTGTAGTACTGACTGTGTAGTACTGACTGTGTAGTACTGACTGTGTAGTACTGTGACTGTGTAGTACTGTGTAGTACTGACTGTGTAGTAGTGACTGTGTAGTACTGACTGTGTAGTAGTGACTGTGTAGTACTGTGTAGTACTGTGTGTAGTAGTGACGGTGTAGTACTGACTGTGTAGTACTGACTGTGTAGTACTGACTGTGTAGTACTGACTGTGTAGTAGTGATGGTGTAGTAGTGACTGTGTAGTACTGACTGTGTAGTAGTGACTGTAGTGACTGTGTAGTACTGACTGTGTAGTAGTGACTGTGTAGTACTGACTGTGTAGTAGTGACGGTGTAGTACTGACTGTGTAGTAGTGACTGTGTAGTACTGACTGTGTAGTACTGACTGTGTAGTAGTGACTGTGCAGTAGTGACTGTGTAGTACTGACTGTGTAGTAGTGACTGTGTAGTAGTGACTGTGTAGTACTGACTGTGTAGTACTGACTGTGTAGTAGTGAGTGACTGTGTAGTACTGACTGTGTAGTACTGTGTAGTAGTGACTGTGTAGTAGTGACTGTGTAGTAGTGACTGTGTAGTACTGACTGTGTAGTAGTGACTGTGTAGTAGTGACTGTGTAGTACTGACTGTGTAGTACCAACTGTGTAGTAGTGACTGTGTAGTACTGACTGTGTAGTAGTGACTGTGTAGTAGTGACTGGGTAGTACTGACTGTGTAGTACTGACTGTGTAGTAGTGACTGTGTAGTAGTGACTGTGTAGTACTGACTGTGTAGTACTGACTGTGTAGTAGTGACTGTGTAGTAGTGACTGTGTAGTAGTGACTGTGTAGTAGTGACTGTGTAGTAGTGACTGTGTAGTACTGACTGTGTAGTAGTGACTGTGTAGTAGTGACTGTGTAGTACTGACTGTGTAGTACTGACTGTGTAGTAGTAACTGTGTAGTACTGACTGTGTAGTACTGACTGTGTAGTACTGACTGTGTAGTAGTGACTGTGTAGTACTGACTGTGTAGTAGTGACTGTGTAGTAGTGACTGTGTATTAGTGACTGTGTAGTACTGACTGTGTAGTAGTGACTGTGTACTGTGTAGTCTGACTGTGTAGTACTGTGTAGTACTGACTGTGTAGTACTGACTGTGTAGTAGTACTGACTGTGTGTAGTACTGACTGTGTAGTAGTACTGTGTAGTACTGTGTAGTAGTGACTGTGTAGTGTACTGACTGTGTAGTAGTGACTGTGTAGTAGTGACTGTGTAGTGACTGTGTAGTAGTGACTGTGTAGTGTGACTGTGTAGTAGTGACTGTGTAGTCGTGACTGTGTAGTAGTGTGACTGTGTAGTACTGACTGTGTAGTAGTGACTGTGTAGTACTGACTGTGTAGTACTGACTGTGTAGTAACTGTGTACTGTGTAGTAGACTGTGTAGTACTGACTGTAGTAGTGTGTACTGACTGTAGTAGACTGTGTAGTAGTGACTGTGTAGTAGTGACTGTGTAGTGACTGTGTAGTGACTGTAGTATGACTGTGTAGTGACTGTGTAGTCGTGACTGTGTAGTACTGACTGTGTAGTAGTGACTGTGTAGTAGTGACTGTGTAGTACTGACTGTGTAGTAGTGACTGTGTAGTAGTGACTGTGTAGTACTGACTGTGTAGTACTGACTGTGTAGTAGTGACGGTGTAGTACTGACTGTGTAGTAGTGACTGTGTAGTACTGACTGTGTAGTAGTGACGGTGTAGTACTGACTGTGTAGTACTGACTGTGTAGTAGTGACTGTGTAGTAGTGACTGTGTAGTAGTGACTGTGTAGTACTGACTGTGTAGTACTGACTGTGTAGTAGTGACTGTGTAGTACTGACTGTGTAGTAGTGACTGTGTAGTAGTGACTGTGTAGTAGTGACTGTAGTACTGACTGTGTAGTACTGACTGTGTAGTAGTGACGGTGTAGTACTGACTGTGTAGTACTGACTGTGTAGTAGTGACTGTGTAGTAGTGACTGTGTAGTAGTGACCTGAATGTCATTGAATGTCCAGAGTTGTGTCTGGAGGAGCATCTCACTTTTTATTGACCAAATCTTCATTTCTTTATTGAGGTTTAGGTTTAGGTTTATTAACCCAGAGCTCTAAAACTGTTACCTCCTGTTGTTTCTGACGCGGGGGACGCGGTGGACCTAGAACAGCACTAGGACTCTTTTTCTAATACCTATCCCAGAAGGCACAAGACAGCGCCCCCTGCAGGCTTATTTTAAATGTGTGTGTACAGTGAAACTTATGAAGCACGTAGCACCCTCTTCTCCTAGAGTCACCCAAACACCAGTCCTGAGGGTGCCACCATAAGAACTCTATAAAACAAATGCATACATCCAATAACCAGTCTATGTCTGTCACTCTCCTCTCTCCCTCACCCTCTCATCCTCTCTCCCTCTCTCTGTCTCTCAGGACGTACATCCATCCCACTTAATCAAATCATTTCATTTAGACTGTTCAGAGTGAGAAAGCTTGTGTGCAGACTGTGTAGAGGGTCTGTCATCCACTTGGCCCTGCGTACCTGCCCAAACCTGTGTAATAGTAACTGTGTAGTAGTGACTGTGTAGTACAGACCGTGTACTCTGCAGGCTGCTCTGGATCCAGTCCCACTGCTTCTCTGCCGCTTGGGGGTCTTCGGGGCCCTGGGGCTGCTCCTGGTCCCACGTGTTTCCACAGAGCGTCACTGTGTCGATCATCAGGACAGTGAGAGACGTGTTAGAGCCGGGGACGGAGAAGTCCAGAGAGTAGTACAGGCTGGGGTAATTCCTGTAACACAAGTTACACATATGAGGTGTATCGATGGAGTATTAGTCGACCAAAAGTTATATTAATTGACTAACAGTCTCCCCATGGTAACAGCGTGGTTGGCTGCTTTTGGGGCTACCTGGCTCAAACTGACTCATAATATTTATACACTTGCTTCGAACCAGAACCAAACATGATTGTCCACCGCATTTGTTTATTGTTGTTGTTTATTTGTGTATTTATGTAAAATGAAACTCATTGGACACAAGGCATAGTGTTCTCCTTTGGTGTTCTGGTTGGCAAAACGATGCTCTGAGAACCAAGCATGTCTGAAGAACGTCTTCTTTTTAGGCATTTGCTTTTGTTCAACACAGTTTCAAACACTGCTATCACAGCATCACATGTGCAGTACAGGCGGGGATTTGTGGTGATCCACGCAACGGTGGCGGCCGAGGGTCTGAAATGAGGATAAAATGTCAAAATTGAGGACGCATAACAGAGGTCCGGACAGAAGGCTCTAAAACAGGACTGTCCGACCGAATTACGGACGAATGATCACCCTAATGTAACTGTAATGACCATGTAATGTGTATTATTGTATTAATATTATTATTTATTATCCAATGAATTCTTTTGAATGTGAATTAAAGCTGTCATGTAAACGGGACATACTGTTGTGTCCGTCGGTAACAGGAGTTTTAGATCATATTTAAAGTCTGTGTGGATATTAGATCCATACACTGTCTGCGTCACTCTGACAGACTGTCTGCGTCACTCTTACTGACTGTATAGAACGTGCCAAGACGCCAGCGTGCTTATGTCAGTGCGCACGTGCGCGCGATGTTATTTTTATTGCTACGTGCATCTTTCAAACATTGCAATCTTTGCAAACTTTGCTCGAGACCAGAAAGTGCGCTCTTGAACTTGCTCTGAACATTTCTACGGACACCAGCCTCATCTGTGGGATATTTCTACACAGACAGCTTCAAACCGTCCCCTGACTCGGACTCCAGGACTCGCGGGAGGAAAAAGCACAGGTTTGTGATATATTTGACTCGGTACAAACGTCAGTAACGCGCCTTACAAAGCTTTGTAAACTGGGATTGAAATGGCGGCTTTTTCGTTTTTCTTCATACAAATTCACCAAAATCACCGCGATATCAGCTGCAATGAAACGCCGGAGGGGCACCCGAGTAGGTTTAGTCCCGGTTTAGTCCTCGTTTAGACCTGGTTTAGTCCTGTTTTAGACCTGTTTTAGACCTGGTTCAGTGCTGGTTTAGTCCTGGTTTAGTTCTGGTTCAGTCCTGGTTTAGTTCTGGTTCAGCTCTTCTTTGGTCCCGGTTTAGTCCTGGTTTAGTCCTGGTTCAGTGCTGGTTCAGTGCTGGTTCAATCCTGGTTGAGTCCTGGTTGAGTCCTGGTTTAGTCCTGGTTTAGTCCTGGTTCAGTGCTGGTTCAGTGCTGGTTCAATCCTGGTTGAGTCCTGGTTGAGTCCTGGTTGAGTCCTGGTTGAGTCCTGGTTTAGTCCTGGTTTAGTCCTGGTTTAGTTCTGGTTCAGTCCTGGTTTACACCTGGTTCACTTCTGGTTTAGTCCTGGTTCAGTCCTGGTTCAGTCCATATATGGTACAAAAGTTGGGCATCTTGGCACAGTTATTACAGGTGAGAGGAAGTGAAAAGTACTGCAGTAGTCATGTCATGTTTTACATTTTAAATGCAGTAATATTGTAATGTAACGAATTACAACAAGTCATACATCCACATTACAGTTTTGAAGTCACTTGTCCAACAGTTTTTTTTTTACCCCACTGAAAATTCCTTAAAGTAGCGTCATTTATAATACAGTGAGATTCCTGAACATAGACAAAATCAGATTTAAACTGTTTGGCAAAAATAAAAAAAACGTTGCGTTTGGTGTTATTTCACAAACCCCCATCACGGAGAAAGAAGATAGAAAGATTCAAGATTAAAGTAGTAACTTTAATGAACAGAGGTAAACAAAAGAGAATGCTCTAAGTAAACCCTTAGACTCGCTCAAAGTACCTGCTCTCTGCTTTTTTCATTCATAGATATGCATTTTTCTATTAGAGGCAAATTGAAAAAAATTTAATAAGGCTCTAAATCAGTCACTAACAACAGTCATATCTTCATAAGAGAATACAGTTGAACGTGAGAACATGAAGCACCAAACCAGAGGTCCTCTTCTGTGGAACCCACGTTAATAGTCACTTTTTTGATTCAAGGAGACAGTGCAGAACCACTGATGAATCCTCTTTCTATCTTTAAGTGGTGCATCTTGTTAGTTCTGGTGTCTGACACAAATATTTCTTCACACAGGTCTGCGTGAGCCAAGACCCAATAGTGCTCCTGGCCCCCGGGCCTTCAGGCCCCCAGACCTCCAAACCTCCACATCTACAGACCTGCACATCTACAGCACAGGACATCACATCTCACTCTAAATCACAAACAGACACTAACACACACACCCACAAACTCACACAAACACACACTAACACCAGCACACTCACACAAACACACAAAGATTCACACACAAACACACTCACAAAAGCACAGAAACAAACACACACCTTATACACACAAACACAGACAAAATATAGACAATGGCTCAACATGTTTCCCCCTGCAGCTTTTATGTTTCCACCCGCAGCTCCAACGTTCCCGCCCACAGCTCCGGTGTCCCCGCCTGCAGCTCCGGTGTTCCCACCCGCAGCAGATCTGGTGTTCCCACCCGCAGCAGATCTGGTGTTCCCACCCGCAGCAGATCTGGTGTTCCCACACGCAGCAGCGTCGGCGTTGTACCCCAACGATGTGGTCATGTCCTGGGTGGATGACGACATCTCCCTGCCTTCAGCTTCAGCGTGGTACCCTAATTATATCGTCATGTCCTCCCCTGACGATGTCGTGTCTGCTCCTGCTACGCCCCTGTCTGCTCCTTCTGGCCTGTCCCTGCGCGCTCCCGTCTCTTCTCCTGCTCCTCAATGTGTCCCTCCTCCTCGTCTAAACTCTCTCTTCTCTCCTCCTCCTCCTCTTAAGCCTTTCCTGGATCCTCTCGCCGGGAGCCCCAAGCCCTCTACACCTCCTCCTACTGTTTCCCTCCTTGCTGCTCCTCCTTTGCTCAGCCCTACCTCTTCTGGTCTGTCTCTCCCTGCTCCTGCTTAACGCCGCTCTGCTCCTCCTATTAGGTACTCCCGTGCTGTTACTCGTGTGCGTCTGAGGTACAGCCCTGCTGCTCCTGCCACACCTCCGCCTGCTGCTCCTGCCACGCCCCTGCCTTCTGCTCTTCTTGTTTCTGTTGCTTCAGCTTGCAGATCTTTCTTGTCTTGGGTTTTGTCTTTTCTGAAGCACTAGTCCTTCCTTCTCCCTCTACTTTCTCTCTATCTCTCACTTCTCCTTTTCTCTCTCTCCTGCTTCTGTTTCTCCCTCCCTCTTCTCTCTCCCCCCTCACTCTCTCTTTGGCTCCCTTTCCCTTATCTCTCTCTCTCTTTCTTTCTCTCTCCCTCCCTCTCTCTCTCTATCTCCCACCCTCTCTCTCACTCTTTCTCTCTGTCTCCCTCTGTCTCTCCCTCTCTTCTTCTCTCTAACCCTCTCACTCTCCCTCTCTCTCTCTTCCTCTCTGTCTCTCTCTCCCTCTCTTCTTCTCCTCTCTAACCCTCTCTCTCTTTCTCTCTCTCCCCCTCTCGCTCTCTGTCTTTCCCTCTTGCTCTCCCTTTCTCTCCCTCCCTCTCTCTCTTCCTCTCTCTTATTCTCTCTAACCCTCTCTCTCTTTCTCTCTCTCCCCCTCTCTCTCTCTCTCTCCCTCCCTCTCTCTCTTCTTTCTAACCCTCTCTCTCTTTCCCTGACTCTCTTTCTCCCTCCGTCCCTTCCTCTCTCTCCCTCTCTCTCTGTCTCTCCCTCTCTTTTTCTCTCTAACCCTCTCTCTCCCTCCCTCCCTCTCTGTCTCTCCCTTTCCCTCCCTCTCTGTCTCTCTCTCTTCTTTTCTCTCTTTCTCTTTCCTCCCGTCCTGTCCGGTCCTGTCATCTCCTTTTTCCTCCCCTCCTTGAGTCGTCACCTTACCGTGGTGGAGGGGTTTTGGAGCCTGAATGATCCCAGGAGCCGTGCTGCTGGGGGACGGCTCACACCAAGAACGGCTCTCTCTCTCTCATCTTTCTGCTTCTCTCTCTCTTCCTCTCTCTACTTCTTTCTTTCTTGCTCTTTTCTCTCTCCTTCTGTTTCTTCCTCCTTCTCTCCCCTTCTCCTCCTCCTCCTCTCCACTCTTCACACGTCCAGAACAAGAAACGACAAAATCCGGCTTGGTGTTTGCAGTTTGACGGAGAGCGAGAGACCCTCTGCCATAAATAAAATCTGAAACTGGACTTGGTGATTTTCATTTTTCATTCACGTGAAAATGAAATTTGAAGCATGTGGGCGAGAAAAGAACAGTAACATGAATCTGATATCAATTAAAAAAAGTGTAGAAGGTCCAGGTTTAGTCCTGGTTTAGACCTGGTTCAGTCCTGGTTTAGATCTGGTTTAGACCTGGTTTAGTCCTGGTTTAGTCCTGGTTTAGACCTGGTTTAGACCTGGTTTAGTCCTGGTTAGGGTGACTACTGGTATGACTCTGAAAATTAGGACACTTTGGCCCAAAAGTGAGGACACTACCGGAACTCGCTGGGAGGGACGGGAGGCAACCACAGAGCACAACAAAATGTCTAAAAACAGCTCTATACAAGCACTTGTCACTATTATCATTATTATCATCATTATTCTGATTCTATTATTGTTTATTATTATATTACATTAGTATTATGATGATCATTTTCACACTTCTTATTCTTCATCAGTTTCAAGACAAACAACATGATTGTGTGTGGCACACACAGGCCACATGATGAACACAACAGCATTTTCGAGTCATGGATTTATTTGAGGAACATACTTGCATCGCTACAGGTTTTTCTGTCATACAGACCACAAAATGTAAATGTTCTTTTGGTTGCTGATGGGGCAAAAAAAAAAAAAAGAGGTTGAAGATGAGTACGCAGCACTGCTAGTATTCTCCATGTGGAGTTGTGTGTGCATGTCTCTAACAGCCAGACTCTCTTGGGGCTTCGCTCACTGATTCTGCAGATATTCGCCATGTTTTTCAGGCTCCTGTGATATGTTTTCCTTTTTTTCCAACCAAAGAACCAAACGCTTCTGCCCGGATGATTTGCACGACCTCGGAACCAGCCGCGGTCCACGGCACAGAAGACAGAAGCAGCCCGCCCGGACCTGCAGTCCACAGCGCATTCTCGCTTTCCTCACACAGAACCAGAGCACAGAGGACTGCAAGAAACTGTTTGGACCCAGTCCTTTAGCACAGAGGAGTGATGTGTGAACGAGAGCAAGGAGTGATTGTGATAGTGATTGTATCCACTCTGTAGTTATAATCTCTGAACCCCATGGATCATCATGTTATAATTTGCACCTTTTAATAATATTGAAGTCTGCTGATTTCCGTGTTAGAAACCTGTGTTGTTCAATGGGAGCTGTGTCGTTGTAAACGTCACGACAACAAAACACCGCAGGCTGTGGAACCTCCTATGGAGAGGTGCACATCACATTAGAGCAGAGCATTTTTTAATATTTAGACCAAAAGTATTGTGTAGCCACACAATGCTGCCGAATCCTATGTGTATCACAGATTAAGAAAATTAAATTGGCGAAAGAAGTGTGTATGTCACAGTGGACGTGCGCTGGTGGAGCTGAAAACGAGGGTTGATCTGCAAAATGTCATCTTGAAAATAAAGATGACTCAAACATGTACGAATCACTCTAAATACAACTTCAGAGGGTCACGGAGTTCATAAATAAAGCAGTTATCCTGCTTCAATTGAACTGTGAGACATTTTTCGCAGTATTTCTGTAGCAATATAGTGTCCTTCAGGTCTATACTTTGTGAGTAGTGTTGTGAGGTTGTAGTATTTGTAGTATTTGTAGTGGTACAGTATCATCTGTGACATCTGTGAGAGGTTGTAGTATTTGCACTATTTGTGTTTTTCTGGTTGTACAGTACCTCTGTGCAAGATGTTGGGAGTGTTGGGAGTATTTGGAGTATTTGGAGTAGTACAGTACCATCTGTGTGAGAGGTTGGAGTATCTGTAGTATGTAATATTTGCAGTATTTGTAGTAGTACAGTACCATCTGTGTGAGAGGTTGGAGTATTTGTAGTATTTGTAGTATGTAGTATTTGTAGTAGTACAGTACCATCTGTGTGAGAGGTTGGAGTATTTGTGAGTATGTAGTATTTGTAGTACCATCTGTGTGAGAGGTTGGAGTATTTGTAGTATTTGTAGTAGTACAGTACCATCTGTATGAGAGGTTGGAGTATTTGTGAGTATGTAGTATTTGTAGTATTTGTAGTAGCACAGTACCACCTGTGTGAGAGGTTGGAGTATTTGTGAGTATGTAGTATTTGTAGTATTTGTAGTAGCACAGTACCATCTGTATGAGAGGTTGGAGTATTTGTGAGTATGTAGTATTTGTAGTATTTGTAGTATTTGTAGTAGTACCATGTGTGTGAGAGGTTGGAGTATTTGTGAGTATGTAGTATTTGTAGTATGTAGTATTTGTAGTATTTGTAGTATTTGTAGTATTTGTAGTAGTACCATCTGTGTGAGAGGTCGAAGTATTTGTAGTATTTGTAGTATTTGTAGTAGTACAGTACCATCTGTATGAGAGGTTGGAGTATTTGTGAGTATGTAGTATTTGTAGTATTTGTAGTAGCACAGTACCATCTGTGTAAGAGGTTGGAGTATTTGTGAGTATGTAGTATTTGTAGTATTTGTAGTAGCACAGTACCATCTGTATGAGAGGTTGGAGTATTTGTGAGTATGTAGTATTTGTAGTATTTGTAGTATTTGTAGTATTTGTAGTAATACCATCTGTGTGAGAGGTTGGAGTATTTGTGACTATGTAGTATTTGTAGTATGTAGTATTTGTAGTATTTGTAGTAGTACCATCTGTGTGAGAGGTTGAAGTATTTGTAGTATTTGTAGTAGTACAGTACCATCTGTATGAGAGGTTGGAGTATTTGTGAGTATGTAGTATTTGTAGTAGCACAGTACCATCTGTGTGAGAGGTTGGAGTATTTGTGAGTATGTAGTATTTGTAGTATTTGTAGTAGCACAGTACCATTTGTGTGAGAGGTTGGAGTATTTGTGAGTATGTAGTATTTGTAGTATTTGTAGTAGCACAGTACCATCTGTATGAGAGGTTGGAGTATTTGTGAGTATGTAGTATTTGTAGTATTTGTAGTATTTGTAGTAGTACCATCTGTGTGAGAGGTTGGAGTATTTGTAGTATTTGTAGTAGTACAGTACCATGTGTGTGAGAGGTTGGAGTATTTGTGAGTATGTAGTATTTGTAGTATGTAGTATTTGTAGTATTTGTAGTAGTACCATCTGTGTGAGAGGTTGAAGTATCTGTAGTATTTGTAGTATTTGTAGTAGTACAGTACCATCTGTATGAGAGGTTGGAGTATTTGTGAGTATGTAGTATTTGTAGTATTTGTAGTAGCACAGTACCATCTGTGTGAGAGGTTGGAGTATTTGTGAGTATGTAGTATTTGTAGTATTTGTAGTAGCACAGTACCATCTGTATGAGAGGTTGGAGTATTTGTGAGTATGTAGTATTTGTAGTATTTGTAGTAGTACCATCTGTGTGAGAGGTTGGAGTATTTGTAGTATTTGTAGTAGTACAGTACCATGTGTGTGAGAGGTTGGAGTATTTGTGAGTATGTAGTATTTGTAGTAGTACCATCTGTGTGAGAGGTTGAAGTATTTGTAGTATTTGTAGTATTTGTAGTAGTACAGTACCATCTGTATGAGAGGTTGGAGTATTTGTGAGTATGTAGTATTTGTAGTATTTGTAGTAGCACAGTACCATCTGTGTGAGAGGTTGGAGTATTTGTGAGTATATAGTATTTGTAGTATTTGTAGTATTTGTAGTAGTACCATCTGTGTGAGAGGTTGGAGTATTTGTGAGTATGTAGTATTTGTGGTATTTGTAGTATTTGTAATATTTGTAGTAGTACCATCTGTGTGAGAGGTTGGAGTATTTGTAGTATTTGTAGTAGTACAGTACCATGTGTGTGAGAGGTTGGAGTATTTGTGAGTATGTAGTATTTGGAGTATGTAGTATTTGTAGTATTTGTAGTAGTACCATCTGTGTGAGAGGTTGAAGTATTTGTAGTATTTGTAGTATCTGTAGTAGTACAGTACCATCTGTATGAGAGGTTGGAGTATTTGTGAGTATGTAGTATTTGTAGTATTTGTAGTAGTACCATCTGTGTGAGAGGTTGGAGTATTTGTAGTATTTGTAGTAGCACAGTACCATCTGTATGAGAGGTTGGAGTATTTGTGAGTATGTAGTATTTGTAGTATTTGTAGTAGTACCATCTGTGTGAGAGGTTGGAGTATTTGTGAGTATGTAGTATTTGTAGTATTTGTAGTAGTACCATCTGTGTGAGAGGTTGGAGTATTTGTGAGTATGTAGTATTTGTAGTATTTGTAGTAGTACCATCTGTGTGAGAGGTTGGAGTATTTGTGAGTATGTAGTATTTGTAGTATTTGTAGTAGTACCGTCTGTGTGAGAGGTTGGAGTATTTGTGAGTATGTAGTATTTGTAGTATTTGTAGTAGTACCGTCTGTGTGAGAGGTTGGAGTATTTGTGAGTATGTAGTATTTGTAGTATTTGTAGTAGTACCGTCTATGTGAGAGGTTGGAGTATTTGTGAGTATGGAGTATTTGTAGTATTTGTAGTATTTGTAGTAGTACCGTCTGTGTGAGAGGTTGGAGTATTTGTGAGTATGTAGTATTTGTAGTATTTGTAGTATTTGTAGTAGTACCGTCTGTGTGAGAGGTTGGAGTATTTGTGAGTATGTAGTATTTGTAGTAGTACCATCTGTGTGAGAGGTTGGGGTATTTGTGAGTATGTAGTATTTGTAGTAGAACCATCTGTGTGAGAGGTTGGAGTATTTATGAGTATGTAGTAGTTGTAGTATTTGTAGTAGTACCATCTGTGTGAGAGGTTGGAGTATTTGTGAGTATGTAGTATTTGTAGTATTTGTAGTATTTGTAGTAGTACCATCTGTGTGAGAGGTTGGAGTATTTGTGAGTATGTAGTATTTGTAGTATTTGTAGTAGTACCGTCTGTGTGAGAGGTTGGAGTATTTGTGAGTATGTAGTATTTGTAGTATTTGTAGTAGTACCATCTGTGTGAGAGGTTGGAGTATTTGTGAGTATGTAGTATTTGTAGTATTTGTAGTAGAACCATCTGTGTGAGAGGTTGGAGTATTTGTGAGTATGTAGTATTTGTAGTATTTGTAGTAGTACCGTCTGTGTGAGAGGTTGGAGTATTTGTGAGTATGTAGTATTTGTAGTATTTGTAGTAGAACCATCTGTGTGAGAGGTTGGAGTATTTATGAGTATGTAGTATTTGTAGTATTTGTAGTAGTACCATCTGTGTGAGAGGTTGGAGTACTGGATCTGTGCAGACACGTTGCCTCTGTGGTCGTGGTTCCCGGACACCAGGTACCAGGGCACGTCCAGCAGGGGGCGCTGGTGGTACACACTCTCAAAGGTTTGCTGTGGAGCACACGATACACAAAATACTCTGAGCTTTAAGACATGATGCTGTTTACCTCCTCAAAAACACACCTGCACTTGTGTTTGTTTCATTTACACACGTTGGAGTAACTCTTTATTATTAGTCTGTCTACACCTCCAAAACTCTAAAAGCTCTGCTCCACCTTATGATGTCATGTAGTGGTAGTTTTCAAGTGAACAACTCTTTTTACTTAAGGTGTGTGGAGTTTAAAAAACGATCTGATAAAAAAAACAAAAAAAACACACACATTGAGGGACAGGAGGACACTGGACAAACTGCTCTCCATCATGGACACTCCTGCTCATGCACTGCACCATACTATAGAGAGACAGATAATAATCCCTACAACTGTACAACAACTCACCCACTGCACCATACTATAGAGAGACAGATAATAATCCCTACAACTGTACAACAACTCACCCACTGCACCAGACTATAGAGCAGGGAGTCAAACTCATTTTGGTCCAGGGGCCGTATCCAGCCTACTTTAATCTTAAAGGGGCCACATCAGAAAACTCATGTCATATAAACCCCAAAACAGCAATAAGTTAAAATATTTGTGCAGAGAAACACAAATCTATTACAGAAATCTTTTTTAATTGACAAACTCTTTCTTTTACAAAATATTATAATATTATGAAAAAAATGCTATTTCAACACAATGTTTTAACATTATCTTGTTTGCAAATAGGAACAAGTCCATTTTTGTTGTAAAATTTGTTGTAATACTCCCTACAACTGTACAACTCACCCTTATGTAACAGATAATACTCCCTACAACTGTATAACATATACCTTTGTATATGTGCGTGTGCTTGTGTGTGTGTGTATGTATAAATGTATGTGTGTGTGTGTATATGTGTGTGCATGTGTATGTGTGTGTGTGTGTGTATGTGTAAATGTGTCTGTATGTGTGTATATGTGTATGTGTGCTTGTGTGTGTGTGTATGTATAAATGTATGTGTGTGTGTGCATGTGTATGTGTAAATGTACGTGTGTGTGTGTGTGTGTGTGTATGTGTAAATGTGTCTGTATGTGTGTATATGTGTATGTGTGCTTTTGTGTGTGTGTAGGTGTAAATGTACATGTGTATGCGTGTATGTGTTTATGTGTGCGTGTGTGTGCGTGTGCAGTCTGACCTTAAAGTGGGGGTCCTGTACGTTCTTGACCCCTTCGTATATGTGTGTGCATTGTGTGTGTGTGTATGTGTAAATGTATATGTGTGTGTGTATGTATGTGTGCTTGCGTGTGTGTGTAGGTGTAAATGTACATGTGTATGTGTGTATGTGTGCGTGTGTATGCGTGTATGTGTGTGTATGTGTGCATGTGTGCAGTCTGACCTTAAAGCGGGGGTCCTGTACGTTCTTGACCCCTTCGAAGTAGAAGTGGTCCCCCAGACTCAGGATGAAGTCCAGGCCTGGCTCTTGGCTCAGTCTGTTCAGCTCTGCAGCCACAGTGGCCTGGAACAGGCTGTGGTACGGGGGCAAGGGGAAACCGCCCCAGTCCGCAAACACCGCGAAGCTGAGGGAGCCTGCTCGAGGAGGAGACGGGGTCAGGGGAGGGTACAGGGTCAAAGGTCAACGTTCTGGTCAGAGAGAGGACGACACTCAAGCCGTACACAGGCTATGTGGGAATCAAACCTAAGACTTTTCTGTGAGGCTAACTGGCCTGTGGTAAATAAACACGAGTGAAGAGTGGAGACAAAATCAGAGCTCCAAATGAAACTGGATGAGTCTGGATGAAATGAATAATTCTTAAAGTTTCTGTACCTGATTTTTACTGCGTTCCAAACCTGAAAAACAGAATTAGTTTCTTCGAAACTGTTTTCAGTGCTGAGTTATTCTTAATTTACCTTATGCATCCGAAGTATTCAACGTGAAGACTACAAGTGCTTTTCACAACTTTCAGCGGCTAGAACGAACAACAACTAACATGCAAACACATACTTCCTTATTATGGGACAGTAAGACTTATTTTGACTTCAAGAGCTGCTAAGATTTACTCAAATGCATGGAAAAAAAATTATTTAAAAAGACCCATGTCTACCAAAAATCTATGTCCTATCTTTATGTTAACATACTTTACTAAACTTTTCTTTGGGAGCTTTCTTGCTGTCATCCTCTTCACTTCGCAAACAGGAAGTAAACAGCTCTGGTCATGTGACAATTTACAGTAAACATGCAACACTGCACATATTTCATTGAGACCCTTTACTATTCCAGTATCTGCTGGAAATGCATTGATAGATCATTTAGTAATATTTTTATAGCCTTAGAAATGAAACTGGCCACTATTGTGACCAGTGGGATTAAATGGGTCAAAAAAAAGTTGCACATGGATTCTCATTGTGGCGGCTAACCTCTAGATCTGACCTGTCACCTGCCTGTCTCCATGGAGAAGTTTTAATTCCAGACAGTGGAACGTTCCACGAAAAGCAGCCTACTCAGACTGGTGATGTCATACTCCCAAATGGGGTCAGAGCCAGATTTCCCTGTTGATCACATTGTACTTTATTATGAACTCTCCAAAAGGTAAAAGCAGAAATGTTGAACCTGATCATGTCTATTAGTGACAAGAGCCATGAACTCACTGTATGACAACACAAATCTGCATTTGAACAAGATTCATTTCACTGTCCAATCTGTATTAAATATAATGTGCCTGTACAATGTTGTGATGTCACCTGAAGTCTAGCAATAACATCTCATGGAGACAAGCAGGTGGTGGAACTTCCACCAGAAAATGTCCATAGCTCACTTTATACAATTCCTAATGTGTCCTCACAAACCTTTTCCCCAGTGCCTCACTCTGTGTGGGTGTGTATGTGTACACTCTAGTACACAAGTGCACAGCTCTGAACCTGCTGTACTGCATTACTGATCACAACGGTTTACTGCTTTTATCAGAGTAACAGGAGCGCGTGACTAGCCTCTACGAGCCTCTACCAGCCACTGTTTCCTATTTCAGACTTAAAGGTACAGTATGGAACTTTCTGAAGGTGGTACATCATTTGAATGATTTCATGAAAATAGAAAGTTAAAACCATACTCCTAAACATTCTCCATAGAGATAGATATGTTTTATACCATACTGTGGAACAATCCCCATGGAAACCAGAAGAAAGTCTCCCTCCTCCAGAGCAAAGAAGAGTTAGGTTTGTGGAAATGCAAGCTCACTCACAGTAAGGAAGCAAGTTTATTAAAAAAAATTATAATTCAGTGCAATAAACCAAAAGTTCCATTCTGTGTCTTTAACATGGTATGTAAAACCCAGAGGAAGTTAAATTCAAAACAGAATCCTGTAGTTGAGTGGTTCTCAAACGTAGCAGCAGATCTAAACCCAAACTGAATCAGATAAGACTCTTCTAGATAATGATTAACGCAAAGTTGGACAAAAACATCACTAGATTTCTCTCTAAATTAAACAAATGTTCAACATACACCTGAGGCACCCCATAGTAGTAGTAGTAGTAGTAGGCTTAGTAGTAGTAGTAGTACCTGGTTGTGCAGTATGTCCCAGGATCCAGCAGCAGGTCTGGAGCAGGAGCAGACCTCTCCACATGGTTTCAGTACTACACTTCAGAGTAATTGCAGGAGTTGTAGTAGTAGGAGGAGCAGTAGTAGTAGCAGTAGTACTAGCAGTAGTGATAGTACAAAGTGAAAGCAGGCAGTTGAGCTCAGGGGTTGTTGCAGTCTGAGTACTTCCTCCTTGTGGGCAACGTCACCAGTACTGGGAAATACTGCAGTCTGACCTGTCAATCAAACACAATGAGAGTCTAACTTTGGTAATGAAAAAGCACCGTAATGACTCTTTATTTAAAACTGACTTTTGTGAGCTTTAAGCTGTTTCATTATGTTGTTTCCATCTTCAAAAACAAGCCTGGACATGTGTTTTGTTTCATTCATAAATTTTTGAGTAACCCTTTATTATTAGTCTGTCTTCATCTCCAAAGCTCAAAGTGCTCTTTTCTACCTTGTGATGTCATGAAGTGGTAGTTTTCAAGTGAACAGCTCCTTTTACCTTTTGTTCAGTAGAGATTGGCAATTCCAGGCTGAAATTATCCAAATGATTTTAGTGAAGTTGATTTGAAGTTTAACTATACTGTGAAGCACATCCTGTATTATCACATGACATCACAAGGTGGAACAGTGTTTTCCGTCTGATACTAAAACTCAGTCTATATAGGATTTGTGCGAATAAAACAAAACAACTCTAGATCTGTTTGTGATGAGGAAACAACATTCAGATGATCAGAAAATAGTGTAATATGAAGCCTAACATAACTGTTTTATTTATTCCAAATTGTGAATACCTCGTCAGACCACATGCAACTGTAGATTGTGTCCATCAAAAAGCCCAAGCTGCTCCTCCCATCTGCAGCTGGACAGCCCCAGTGTGATGGTGGAGGGACCTACACCAGGCCCATGGGTCCAGATGAGTTTCCTCTGCAGAAGGGCTGAGTTATGTGGAGCTGCTGCTTCTCTACATCCAGAAGCTGATGTGTCTAAATCAGAGGTGTGCAAATTGGTCTCCTGGGAGGCCAATATTAGTGGATGGAGGGCCCGATTCTTTCAGCAGTTTGCAGAATTTTCTTCTGCAGAGAAATGTATGCGTAAATAGACTGGATTGTCTTCCTTCCCAGCTCCAGTTTTTGTATAAAATTTTATCAAAATCGATTCTTCTCTGGAGTAAAAGATCCATGCTGGACAAAAGCAGAGGAAATATAAAAAGGTGCAAAGTCTTATTCTGAGGAACAGTTGTCCCAGTTTATATAGAGCACTATCAACAGCTGGTTTTACAGGGCTACACAGAGGCCTTTACATCACGTCATTTTACACAGAACTAGCTTTAACAAGAAAAGGTGCACTGTGTAACTTGTGTGTGTAATTGTCTCCATGGTTTAACTGTGTAATTCTTTCTAAATTAATCTAATAATCTTCGTATTGCAAAAAGATTCAAATATGAGAGGTGTCATTCATTCATGGATAAAGACAAGTAACATACTTAAATAAGAGTGTAGAGACAAACAGTGACAGGTTTGCCATCAGAAAAGTGACACAGTGCACCTTTAATATTTTAATAATCAAATGTACAGTGTGTGGTTTATAAAGAGGAAAAAGTGTAGTCAAATGTAGTATTTTATTTCAGTCTGATCAGAAGAGCAGGATTATGAACACATGATTTTGGCCAAGGTCTGCTGTGGAAGATTTCACACAAGCCCATAGTCCCACTCGTGTTAACAGTTACATAAACATACATGACAAACAGAACATGAAACTTCTAATCTAGAATCTTCCATTCAAATAACCCCTAATAACCAACAGTTTTGACATTATTTAATGAGTGTATGAGAGACATTGTGGGTTAAAACGTACTGCGTTAAAAAGTACAACCGTTATAATCTAAAACTCACAAATCACAATTTTGTAAGAAACATGATCGGGCAAATAATTCTCACAAAATTGCAAGTTGGGTGAATCCAAACACTGATTTCTTTTGGCATTTGTCAAACAGAGCTTGGTCAGATTGAACACTTTATGTTCAACAATTCGTAATCCTACAAAATTACAATAACATTCTATAAATTAATTTCAACCCAGTTTCCTCCATTTTGTCCATCATGAGACTGGTAGGTTTCCACAGCAGTAGGGGGCGCTAGCAGCAGTGAGGCACTGCTTAGACCTATAACCACTCCTGAGGTTGGCGGTTTGACTCTAGTTTGGATCACTGCATACTGCCACTGTGCTCTTGTGCAAGATACTTCACTCACCTCAAATATCATGAAATATAAAAATACAGTGTAAAATGAATACAGTACTACTATTTGGCACCAGTTTTGTGCACAAGTGCCTTCTGTGTCTGAACTTTCACCATTTTGTTCCACTATGTTTATTTATTGTGTTGGGTTTTGTCAGTGAGTGAATCCCCAACCTCCAAGAAACACTTAGAACCTAAACACCTAAAACCTAAAAGCTGGTACGTGGCCATACCAGCTTGTAAAAGTCTGATCTCGTCACATTTCAGAAGCTCAACAGGGCCAAGCCTGGTCAGTATTTGGATGGGAGACCACTGGGAAAATCAGGTCTCACAGGGGGGCAAAAAACTGTTGTTGTGTCCTTAGGCAAAGCACTTCACCCACATGGTGTGTGCGCGAGTGATGGTGGTGGTCAGAGTGTAGAGTGAAATGAAGAATGATCTGTAAAGTATCTTTTGAGTGTTCAGAAGCAATATATATTCATTGATAATTGATATTAAATGATATCATCAACATTCCCTGGAGGATAGGAGGGAGTTAAAGCTAACTAGAGGCACTTCTTTCTCTGACGTTTTGTTTAATCTGAGCTTTGTTTTAATGCAATCTGATGAAAAAGTGCTTCACCAATAACTTACAGTCAACAGTTACAAACAATAATTTTTTTCAAAAAAACAAACTAATAAACAGCACAGGCTACTGAATGTGTTGTTTAGAAAAACTTAATGCCTGCATGGTGTCGCTACGGTGCCAGCTGACCACTCCTCCAGCGTCATGTCACTGCCAAGTATCACTTGATGTAAAATGGCCACACATGATGATTTCATACACATCTTGCCTCATTTTGATCCTTGCCAGTTACTGTAGTTTGACACAAATTTCCTTATAAACATTATTTAACTGAACTAATAGTCAAAATGATCTGGTAGAATTATTGTTGTAGCTCATTGTTTTGCTAATGCCATTTGAGCCCAGTGGGAGGCAGCACTGAGACACATGCCTGATGCCCTCCCATACTGCCATGGAAACCTGCAGTAGTGTGGATGCTGACTGTGGACAGCAGAGACACAGGCCGCTGCCTAACAGAATCAGACACAGGTAATGTTGGACTAGCCCTCAGCGCGGTGAGAGACTGAAGGAGAGCTGATTAAAAGGACGTGTTTATTGTCCACATGTGAGTGCAAAGCAGCGGACTGGACCAGAGCAGGGGACAGGGTTAAGAGCCAAACTCCACCGTCTCCTCCGTGATGGGCTTGAACTCGTAGTTCCCTCTGCCGTCCATGTGGAGGTAGTACTGAGCACAGGACACAACACAATGACTACATGCACTTCACAACAGGGTTACTACAGTACTGTAGTACAACAGTAGCTGTGTTTGAAATGCAGTATTATCTGATGAGACTCCACAGCACTGTCATGGAAGGGGGTGACTGTTAGCAAGATTATACAAGTCTACAGATGTCAAACACTTTACATTCACAATGCCACAATACCATGACCAAACTATTGAATCTTTTACTTCATCTAATGACCATATAATCTGTGACACCTTTATCAGATCAAACCTTCTGAATGAAAAAGTGAATGTGACATAAAATAATCAGGATTATCAATTAATCTGTGAATCCTGGCTGGAGTTGAGTGTGATAAATATGTGGATGCACTGATCCAATACTGGTATTGCATATTAGCAACGATCCTGAAATAATTCCTGGATCAGATATCAGCTTCCAAATATTGGGTCAGCGATATCCTGGTTGGACATACAAATTGATGTAATATGACTATTTACTAGGGTATTTTTAAAAATGAGACATTTCCCTTCGTTTGTACACATTGTTTACACGTAAACAGCGAATTCGCCTCTGAAAACTAATCTTTCTAAAAACTCCGACTAGACTGGAGATTTTGGAAAACTCTGGTTTCACGTTTGCGTGTAAACTGAGATAAACGGAGCTGATGCGCTGAAAGTGCGACCGACGTTTACCTGTTGCTATGATGACAATGATGGAAGCATTCAGAACAGCAGTCGCATTTCTTCTGATCGTGCATAGGAGCACTCATAAAACAGCAGCATGTAGAACTTTGTACGCAACTCCGCGCACATCAGCCCAGAGCAGAAGCTCTAAGCTCGGGCAGCAGCGCCAAACACACGGGAGCAATCAGCGCGCAGCTCCTCAAGACGGGGCTGGAGGTCCAGTGTTGGTCAGATTGTCCGGAGGCTTCGTCCTCCATGTCCTGGTTCCAGATGGGGGCGAGCAAGACCAGCGCACAAAGGACTGGGTCCGATTGCTTCAGTGCAGTCATCTGTGCGCTGGTTCCGTGCGGGAAGCGAGAATGCGCTGTGGACCACAGGTCCGGACGGGCTGCTCCGGTCCTCCACGCTCGACCCCGGCCTGGTTCCGAGGTGGTACAAAGCATCCGAACAGAAGCGTGAATCCCGTTTGGTTCATTATATGTTGTTCTGAGCGGTTCGTCTGCGCATGCGTTTTTTGTTTTGTTTTTGTTTTTTTCGGGGAAAGCGCTCAGGTGGGGACACCACCCCCCGCTTCAGCTCATCTGTTTGTTCTGCTGAAACACTTTTCATGTGTTTGCATTTGCACACACAGCTGATGGATCAGATCCATGACTAGAGATGAACAAGGGCTCGGAGTTCAGTGATTTTACCACTTCTTTAACAGATCTCCGGAGAAGTGAGCCCGCTCACTAACACATGTTTTTCAAGGTATTTTTGAGTAATACTTACAACTGTAATGAAATAAATGCTACAGGTTTGAGTCTAATCTAGGTGTCGCCCAGAGGCTCGGTGTAGTTCTTTATCCCGGTTGATGTAAAAGGAAACTTTTTTGAAAACAATGCTGTGTGCACGATGTTATTTTGAAAAACGGAGGGAGGGAAATATTCGTTTCTCAAAATACCCAGCTCTGTGTAAACGTAGCCATAGTCAGCCCAGAAAATCTCAGAATGTTTTTGCATCTGGACTAAAAACACTGGATCGGTGCATCCCTAATATGGCTCAGGCAGTACACCCCAGAGGTTGTCTGGGTTTCAGATGAAATCACAACTTTCTATAGGCCAATAACATTTAAAACTAAAGCTAATGGGTCTAATGGGTCAATTTTGTAATAGAAACCATTAGGTTAAACACTTGTAAATTTACCTTTTACATATTCCATGGCAAAATACAATGTAATCTATAAAATGTGTTGTTCTAGAAAGAAAAGACACAGTATTGGGTCTTACCTCGTGGTGCTTCCACAGAGACTTTCTGTGGGACACTGTGAACAGGGTGATGCCCACCTGTGTACACATAAAGCAGGTTAGTGCTCTGCTGTGGTTTCGTCTGTATGTTTATGTCCTGTAGTGTGAAGTGTACCGTGCGACAGTGGCTGTAGATGAAGTCCTCCACGTCCACACTCACAGCACTGGTGCACTCATCCAGAATAGCAAACTGAGGCTTGTGATAGAAAAGCCGGGCCATCTGCACAAGCACACAGAGCAAACACGCAATACTTTTACATAGGCTCATATCAAGTGGTAGGATTTAAGTAAGAACAGTGTTATGGCTCCAAGACGAATTGTAGTGTAAAGAGTCCCTATAAGGCTATTTTCCCAAACCTATTTTAATGTAGTTTCCTCATCACAAACACAGCTGGAGTGGTGTTTTGTTTCATTCACATGTTTAACACACAAACCCTGCACATTTAGAGTTCTTCTCTCAAACAGAAAACACTCTGTTCCACTGTGTGATGTCATGAGGTTATACAGGAGCTGTGTTTTTACACTCCATACACCTCCACTAGAAGCATTTGGATGATTTCAGATCTGGAATTGCCAATCTGCTAAATTGAAAAAGTTATTCAAACGTGTTGATGAACCAAAATACAACTCCAAACTCCATCTAATACAGGACTCAATGAACCAAAATCACAAGTTGAATGGAAGCCATTACCACATCGCAGAGTGTAGCATAATTTCCTCCACAAACAACAAAATCTCCTTATTCTGTCTTATTCTGTTTAAAAGCTTCTAACCCGTAGTTTAGATCTGTACAAACATTAGTTTGTCAGTACAGATTCTTTTTGTCATTTCTTCTGGACGTGTTGTAATGTGAACTTTGAACAGAATCCTAGTATTAAAACATATATTGCAAATCTGATTGCAATTCTTGTCACAAAAACCTGAATTACAGGTAGATATTTTTCCCAAATTGCTTAGTTCATCTTTCAGTCTTTTCTCAAATGCTCCAATTGTTTTCAGTGTGCACTCCCAACAGAATCCTACTTTTTAAACATATATCTACAAATCTAATCACAGCACTTGTCAGAAAATTTCTATTATATTCTTTTTGGTGTGTGAGAAACAAAGAGATGGAGAATACATGAGCAGGTGTGTGACATGTGCCCAGCTGGTGTGAGTGTGAGTTTGCCCATGTAGTGGAGGAGCTTACAGCCATCCTCTGCTTCTCTCCTCCACTCAGCACGTCCATCCAGTCCTGCACAGAGTCCCAGCTGCCCTCTCTGTCCAGGATGTGCCCCAGCTGCACGTTGTCCAGGTACTGCTTCAGAACCTGCACACACACACATACACAGGTTAGGTTTTGGCATTACACTGACTTATATTCATTTCCTGGAGACTTAACCCAATTTAAACCAAGCTAATCAAACTAACCCATAACTTGATGTAGGGCTGTAGTCGACTAAAGGACTTCTTGGTGGACTAAAAACATGTGCAGTGGACTAAAACAAGGGCGTCTCAAAACTATTACATATCTGTGTATCTGACCCAAACTGCACTCACAAGACTGCACTTGGAGGGGGAGTTCATGCAAAAACTACTATTTATGCAGAAAAAGTACTAGGAAACACCAAAAAAATACGGAATCTTCAGCCAACTCACTCACTCATTTCTGCTGCTGTCCCATAGAAATTCTCATAAACTAAAAACAATGATTAGTCGATTAATACACATTTTGGTTGACTAAGACTCCATTGACCAGTTCATCGACTAAACCACTAAAGGTTTACTTCCTAACTAATGCTTGTCTTAATGATTGTCTTAGATAGGTCAGATCTTAAATAGGAGGATTGTTCTCATGGGACCTGACATTTGTTACATTCACAAAACAAAGTGATTTAACCATTAAACGCAGACGGTCACACATTGACACATGTCCCTTGGACCGGACTGACCTCAGCATTGGGTTAACCTGTCTGGACCTGAGCCAGTTAGGCATTAGTGAATGACTTACCATAGTGTTATATTTAGGAGGCATGAAGACTGATCATTTTAACAAAGTTTTTATGCTAACATCACGCACATACGTAATGACGTAATCCTACGGATGCCGTACTAATGATACATCACATCCTCCTTTTTAACAAGTTATATGTTCAAGTATAATTATTACACTTTTTTTTTCTTCAAGGTACCCTTATAACCAACAGTACAATACACACAGGTAGTTTTACTGCTCTGCCAGATCTTGTTATGTATGAAACTGCATCAGCATTAACATTTAGCTGCGAATCATGTGCATCAACATGTTGATCAGGTGAATCAATTTGGAAAGTCTCCTTCTTGGTATTTGAGAGTCCATTTCCAGATTAGTGTCTTGTCCAGTTGTTGTGAATGTCTTCTCCTCAGTTTTACGTAGATGTTTCCGGTTTCTTCTGTACACCCTACCATCAGGTGTACGAACAACAAATAAACATGGCTGCTTGTATTTGTGCAGGACCACTGCCAGCTGCCATGATTCTCCTCGTTGCATGCAAACATTTTCTCCATTTTGCAAGTCAGACAGTGTCCTTGTTTGTCTGCCAAAATATAGTTTCTGTTTTACCTGCTTTTCTTTCAGCTGCTGATGAACCTTGTCAGATCCATCTGGAGTGAGCAGAGATGTTGAAGTTGACAGTTTTCCTTTCAGCCTACGTCCCATTAGCAACTGTGCTGGGGATAGTCTTACATTTTCCAGCTGAGTATTCCTGTACTCCAAAAGTGAAATGTAGGGGTCGCCTCTGCTGCACTCTGTTTTCTTCAGCAGGTTCTTTATAGTCTGTACAGTCCTTTCGGCTTGTCCATTGGATTGAGTGTGCGTGGGACTGGAAGTGATGTGTCTGAACTCCCAGTTTTCTGTGAACTCTTTAAACTCAGAGCTGGCATACTGAGGACCATTATCTGATATAAGCACATTAGGTATGCCATGCCTGGCAAACACTGACTTTATAGCCACTATAATACTAGAACTAGTAGTGTCCTTCAGCTTCATGAGTTCTGGGAACTTTGAAAAGTAGTCCCCAAACAAAAGAAATTCAGACCCATTGTAGTGGAAGAGATCAGTGCCTACTTTCGCCCATGGCCTGCTGGGTATTGGATGTGAAAGTAGTGGTTCTCTTGGATTACTATTTCTGTGTTGGTTACACACTGCACATGCAAATATAATTTGCTCAAAGTGTGATGACATGTTTGGCCAATACAAAATGTCTCTAGCTCTTTCTTTACATTTCACTACTCCTAGGTGTGACTCATGTATTTTCTCAAGCATTTCTTGTCTGAGCTAAGAAGGGACAATGATCTTTGCAGCTTTGAACATCAGTCCTGATGTGTATGTGATCTCATCCCTAAATGTCCAATATGGTACTGCATGCCTTTCATTTGGCCAACCTTTCAGTGTCATGTCCTTGAGCAACTGCATTTCTGTGTCTTCTGCTGTAGCTTTTTGAAATTTGTGTAGTTTTTCCTCAGACATTGGTAGCTGCTGTGTAATCATGTTCACCTCTAGCTCTTTTCCCAGTTGCTCCTCTTTTTGTTCAATGAGAAAAGCTCGACTCAATGTGTCTGTAATGTAAAGTTCCTTGCCAGGTTTGTACTTTACTTTTAAGCTGTACCTCTGGAGCCTTAGAAGCATTCTAAGTATTCTCATGGGAGCTTGGTGCAGTGACTTTTTGAAGATGCTCTCCAATGGCTTGGGGTCACTTTCCACTTGAATGTCTCTTCCATAAACGTACTGATGAAACTTTTCACAGCTGTACACAACGGCAAGGAACTCTTTTTCAATCTGAGCGTACTTTTGCTAACAATCCATGAGTGCTTTTGACCTGTATGCTACAGGCTGTCCATCCTGCAGCAGGACTGCTCCTGTTCCTTCAGAACTTGCATCCACTGACAGAGTGACTGGTTTATTGACATCATAATATTTGAGTGTTGTGGTGACAAGCTGTTTTAATAGTTAAAAACTTTTTTGCTGTTGTTCTTCCCATTTCCTTCAAGCAGCTTTCTCAGAGGTGCACTGATATATATTGAAATATTTGGCATTCAGCATGCGAGAGACAATTTCTTCAACTGTGAGTAATGGGTAGTGTTCATGTTTGATAGCTTGATTCAAATCTTTGGGGTCCATACATATGTGTATCTTCTTTGGTGTGACCACAGTGACCATACTGTTGACCCACTCAGCTGGCTCTGTCTGCCTTGCTATCACTCTCATCTTCTCCATGCGCTGTAGTTCCTGTACTACTCTCTCTCTCAGTGCAACTGGTATTTTCCTGGGGGTGTGTACCACAGGTGTGACTGTGTGGTCTATCTGTACGTGGTGCTGACCAGGTAAACAACCCAGCCCATCAAACAGATCAATATAGTCTTTTAAAATGTTGTGATCTTTTGTAACTTCATACAGCGTTTTCACAAAGCCTAGCTTTAAGCAGGTAGCCCCTCCTAGTAGTCAATAGTTGAAACATCCTCTTGTGTGATTTCAAACTCAATTTCTTGCTTTTGACATTTATGCTCACATGTTAGTGTTTTCTTGTCCAAGGCTGCCACCTTGTGACCAAAGAATGGAACGAGTTTTGTCTTGATCATCTGAATTTTGTCACTGGCTCCAATTGCATCCAGTGTCTTAACTGACATCGTGTTGCAATCTGCGCCTGTGTATAATTTGAATGTCACAACTTTGTTCTTTATTTTAAATCTTTCTGTCCATATGTCTTCTGCTTGGTTTGTCTCTATAGACTCCATTTCAGAAACATTTTTGTTGTGCTCCACTTGGAGTATCCCCAAGAAAATCTCCGTTTCATTTTCAGTTTGCTTCTTTCCATTTTGTTTACGTTGTCCCTGCATTCAGCACATCTTGGCAAAGTGATGTTTCTTATCGCATACAATGCACGTCTGACCATACGCAGGACAGTGTTTTCCATGTTTAAATCCTCTTTTTGCTCAGTTTTTTGTGTACTCTTGAATTCTTTTGTTCTGACTGTTCTCAACTTGTTAATTTCCACTTCTTCAGTTAGCACGTTAACTTGACTGCTTGTGAGCTCACTGGCCTGGCATATATCCAGAGCTTTGTCCAGTGTCAGATCTGCTTCACGTAACAGTCTGCCTCTTACTTGATCATTTATTATGCCGCACACTATTCTGTCACGCACCAGCGAATCATGCAGGCCTCCGAATTCACAGTCTTTGGCTTTGTTTTTTTAAATCCGTGACATAAGCATCAGTGGTCTCACCTTGTTCCTGGGCTCTGGTGAAGAACATGTGCCGTATGAAAGGTAAGTTTTTTCGTGGCTCACAGTAGTCTTGAAACTTCTTCTTGAGTGCCGCTATTTTGCCTTCTTCATCATCTGAGAAGTGAAACATGTTGCTTACTTTTATCACCTCCTCTCCTGTGACATGTAGAAATGTGATGCATTGCACTTTTTCTGACTTCTCTGCAATTCCACTAGCAGTGCAAAAAAGTTCAAAGCGTTGAATCCAGTTTCTCCAATTTTCCATTAGGTTGCCATGCAAACTCAGGGTCCGTGGTGGTTGAAACTGTGCCATTTTCTATTTTTGCGTTATCTTCTGACACCATGTTATATTTAGGAGGCATGAAGACCGATCATTTTAACAAAGTTTTTATGTCACACATCAGGAACAGCTACACAACTCCCGCTAACATCACGCACATACGTAATGATGTAATCCTACGGATGCCATACTAATAATACATCACACGTAGTAGCGGTACAAGTGTGAGGAAATACAAAATCTGAATGTTTTCAGTGATCAAAAATATCTGACTTTCAAAGACAAGTTTGGCTCGACTACAGAGAGAAGGAGTCGTGCAGTACAACTAAAATGTACATGTATGGCTAAGAAATATCCAAAGCTTTTATGAAGTGGATGTCCAGCTTTAGGGCATCTGGTTGAAAAAACAGTATTAGATTATAAATGACTGGCCACATGACTTCTTAGGGGAGGTTGGGGTTGATGTGTTTGATTTGACTGTTGCTTTAAAGAAAAAAAATCCACATGAAGGGTTTATATAATAATGTGTGAATGATTCAATTTTGTGATCCACAGCACAGCGTCTCCGGTTTTAGTGTGTTAATGTATGTTTGTATGTGTTTATGTGTATGCGTGTGTGTATGTGCATGTGTGCATGTGTGAGTGTGTGAGTGTGTGCTGTACCTGGTCTGAGATGCCCTTCCTCCTCTGCTGCTCCTGTGTGTCAGGATATATGACCTGGTCCCTCAGTGATCCCAGCGTCATGTACGGTCTCTGTCACACACAACAGTCTGTTCAGTGCTCTGGTTTCGTCATGTCAGCAGACTCGATACTCAATCCAGTTCAAGTCAGATACCACGAACAATCATGATTAAAAAAAAAATCTTTCTTGAGACAATAGAATGTGATTTTCAACACTGAATGGTAGTACTTTTCTATTGCTTTGTGTCCTTATATATGTGTAATCCCTCAAGGCGTCCATGTAGGTTCCATAGTGGTCCATTGGGCGTATACCGTATTTTCCGGGCGAGTAGGCACGGTCTTAAGCCTCCAAAAACGACTGCGCGCCTTATAATCCGGAGCGCCTTTTATATGAATTTACGCGAGTGTTTCAGTACAACTTCAGTAAACGACAAAGCCGCACCACTTGCAGCATTACGGCTACCGTAGTCAGGAGCATCATGGAGTAATACGTACTGTGATTCCTCATTTTTCCTGTGGATGAGGAAAAGATGAGCGACTGGCAGCGAGAAGTTTACCTTAAGAGACCAGATGGCTTTTTCCACACATCTCCGTCCCTATTGATCTGCGACTCCAGCGCAGTAACAGATTGTTGTTCAGACGCAGCCGCGATTCATTTTCAAATTATTTTACCAACAATGGCCAATACAGAGAATGTTAATACACAAAGATCAAAGCAAGTACCAGTGTGCGAACATGTGGCTCCAGAGTGAGTCAAAATTGGGGGTGTGTACGTCTGTTCAGGACCTGCACGCACAGAGAGGTCCCGGTGTTCCTCGTGATCATGTACCAACCAGCATTTGTTATTTTGTTTGTTATTTTAGGCTTTAATTAACCAAATAATTTTATGGCAATAGCCTATTCAATTGATACAACTTCAAAATGTCCTGCTTTTAGCCTAGTGTGAGAAATACAGTCAGACTAGATCTAAACCAGAGTCCCGAACCAGCGGGGGCAGCTCTGGTTCAGGCCGGGCTCAGAGGAGCTGGAGCGGGGAGCTTCGACCTGAGGAAGCGCTTTCCCCGGGAAGAACCAAATGCGCGGAGCATGGACGCTCAGAACAACATAAACCAACCAAACTGGACTCACGCTTCTGTCCGGATGCTTTGCACCACCTCGGAACCAGCCACAGTTCTTGAGTGCGGAGGACCGGAGCAGCCCATCCGGACCTGTAGTCCACAGAACATTCTCGCTTTCCCCGCACGGAAACAGCGCGCAGACGACGGAACGTACCCACTCGGACTCAGTCCATCAAGCACTGGTCTTGCTCGCCACCGTTTGGAACCAGCACATGGAGGACAGAGCCTCCGGACCATCTGTCCAACGCGCTTGTAGGACGACAGAAGACCAAGGACCAGACCCAGCCCCGTCCTGAGGAGCTGCGCGCTACGGTGAGCGCTGCTGGCTGTTGCTGTTACCCAAACTCTGGGCTGATGCGTTGAGTTTGTACAAAGTTCTACATGTTGCTGTTTTATGAGTTCATGATGATAATTTGAGATGAGGACGGCCCGTGGTATTAACAGGAACATCGGCGTTGATAACTGGAGGTGTCGCTGTTTTCCCGAGACACGCCAATCGAACCAGTTTTGGTTCGTTTGCCGGTGTGAAAGCAGACCACTCTGGAGTGTATTTGCTACATAATAACAATTTTATTGCCTGGTGCGGACCAAATAATCGAACTAGCGGTGTGAAAACGCCCTAATGTGTTATTTTTACTTATAACCGAACAATTATGAGTTATTGTGAATACGCTGACAATTTATCAGTCTCAGACAGTTTTTTGATTTTACATGTTACAAATGAACAAAGTTGAGAGTTAACGTAACGAGTAAACGCGTTAAATAAAGTTTGACTGTTGTGTTTCGTTTAACACGCCTTATAGTCCGGTGCGGTTTATATGTGAAAAAAGTTCAGGAAAATGACATTTGCGTCTTATAACCCGGAAAATACGCCTAATCACCCGTAAAATACGGTACTAGTCTTATTAGTATACTTGTTCTGATAAAACTCAAGAACTTTCAGGAAAGGTAAATTTTTCTCCTATGAATATGACTTTTTATATTGATACTTGGTCAAATAAGTATCTAGTTCTGATATTAGATTTAATATTGATTAGCATATGATGATTTTTGACCACCCTATTAGTCTGTATTACCTGTGGGACATAGAAGAGCTTTCCTCTCTCTGGTTTGGTCAGCTCTCCTCCAAACAAAGGCCACAACTGAAACACAAAAAGTTCCAGGTTGGTGCATGGTGTAGAGCATTAGATTACACATTAAAGGAGCTGTGTGTCTCACCTCTCCGAGCACTCTGAACAGGGAGCTCTTCCCACAGCCGTTTGGTCCACACACCAGCACGTTGGCCCCAGACCGCACCTGCACAAGGGGACGTTTGTCTATATAAACTGCAGAGCCTAACCTGTCAGAATTTTGGACCCCATAGTGCAGTGGTCCCCTAACCCCCTATGCTCTGTCTCACACTCTGGGCCCACTAATGAGTTTTAAAACACAACCTTTGTCTTCCTTCTAAAATGCAGAGATAATTTTACAGGATAGGAAAGCATTGTTTGACAGTTTAAACCTTAATTTAAGAAAATAAAGGCTTTGTTATTAGTTATGTAAAATAAACAGGTGTTTCTCAATGCCCAGGATCCCTCCTCCAAACACCACTCTGTAGCCCTCCTCTGGAGTTGGCTTTAATGTGTAGTTCATTTGGGTTGGTCAAGGAACCCCTGGTGCATCCTGAGTAAATGAACGGGGGAATTTTGTCTTTGGGGGAACTGGAAAAATCACCAGACAGAGCTCTGGTGCACTTTAGCTAATTGAAATAAAAAACATTTTACATGCTACTTTTTTTTGCTTTGAATGCTTCGGTGAAATGAGAAGTCTTCCCTGGCATATGCACTTTAAGGATGTAAAATTTACTCCAAAAAATGGTTTCTGATTCAAACACAGACAGATGAGAGCACAACACTAGAAAGTGCAGGCCTACCTCAAAGGACAGGTCTCTGATGAGGATGTCTCCGTTGGGCGTGGCTAACGGCGTGTGCTCAAACCTGGAGGAAGCACAAAAATCAGTTGAATGCCATAGAAGTTTTGTAGAACATTCTAGACAAAGCGACAACATCTCCATGGAGTGGTGGTGAACCTCCATGAAAACATCCAATTATTGATCAATGACAGTTTCACTCTCTGATATTCTAACTTTCTGTTGGTTTTGGGAGGTGCCTGCTGTTTTAATTTTGGGCTCTACAAAATAAATGGAACGCCGTGTGTGCTGAGGCTCTTGTGCCCGGGTGGAAGCTGAAGGAGGAAGTGCAGGGCTAAACCCACTTGATGATGTTGTCCTGGTTGATGACTCGGCCGTTGCCTGGCACCAACGCTATCTTCTGGGAGGTGTCAGACTCTACAACACAGTACAGAGACTAGATTCAACAACAAGCTCACTTTAGCTGTAGTCACTGGATGAAAAAAAAACATTTGGGCCCCAATCTGGACCCTTGCGGCAAACCACATACAATATCTAAAAGTGACAAGCTCTAATCATTTAATTGAACAAACTGAGATGGATCTGCAAAATAATTCTTTACCGGTTTACAGCCGCCAACCCCCTTATGCCACGTAATATTATATCTTTTTTTTTTATTAATCTGCTGTGATTTATTGTGCGGAAAGCTTTTTTTTTTTTTTTTTAAACTATGAACAGCCCAACTGCTATTTTCTTCCCATCTCTTTTTCTCTCACTTTGTTCGTCCATCTATCTCACAGTCTATGTCTATTTTCTCTCTCTGTCTGGTCTGTGTGTGTCTTACCTCTGTCCTGTTAGACCATAGTATTTGCCTGTGCTAAGCTCCTTCAGCACCTTCATGGTGTCTCTGTTTCTGTCTCTGTACCTCTGTCCTGTTGGACCATGGTGCGCTCGTATTTGCCAGCATTCAGCTCCTTCAGCACCTTCATGAGCTCTGTGATGCGCGCGGTGAACCTGACCAGGGGCAGACACAGCACATGTTTATAGGAGCAGTTTTACTGTCAAGGTGAGTCCCTGTTCTCAACGTGTAGGTGAGCAGCTCACCCAGAGAGACGGGTCATCTCTCTGCCTGCCAGGACAATTCTGCCCAGGGCCTGGGACATCCGAAGCAGCATGCGCCCACTCTGGTAGTAGTCCTGCAACACACAAACTGTCACTATACCTAGGCATCACCATAACACACTGAAGTGAGATATACCGCTGAAGAAATAGACTGTAAATGACAGTACTGAAATTAATTTATGCCACTAACACAATAACCCTAAAGCAGGATTACTTAAAAAATCTATATGTACCATATGATTAAAGAGGGGGTAACACAGAACATTTTAGATCACCATGTTACCAGCTATTGTTTTGAAAAGGCTATATTCATCGAAAACAACGTATTAAAACTGAAACTTATAAAACATGTTATTTTTGACACTCTGAGTCTCCCTCCCTTTGCTCCCCACCTTAAGTCACTCCCCTTCAGAGCACTATCACAACATAATCATAATTCACTAGCAGATGAAACTACTGCATACCGTATCAAGTTGTTGGGCACAGATTTGTATCATGTTTTTGTATATTTATTGTGTTGAATTGCTGTGTGGGAGCATGGCTGACATTGCAGCTTTTGGGTGGAGCCTTGCACAGAATCTTGCAGCAGCAACAATAACAGTTGAAAGGAGGGTTCAAACAGGGGCCGGGACCCGGCATATTTTTGATGAGGGAACATCGTTATAACATGGTAGAACGTTTGCATAATACCCCCTCTTTAAACAACATGAGCTGTAATAAATAAAGGTCTATGGTCCTTTACAGAGCCTTCTGGTTTCTAACAGAGTGTAAAAGGCACGGGCTGTTCAGACAAATATTAAATGATGGCTATTATTAGAAAGCAAACAGATACAATGCCATCAGTGGAAATGATTTGATCCACCTCTCTGTGGCACTATAGCTGAGAAGTGTCAGTGGCCCCTGGGAGCTGCAATGTGGTACATTTACCTCCAGCAGCTCAGAGTGCGTGCTGTGCAGGTGCCGAGGGTCCGATAAGTTCAGGAAGGGTCGACTCACCACCAGGTACCCCACCACTGTGGCTATGTCTGCACACGGACACAGGACAGAGGACAAGAGGGACATAGAGGCCAGATCATGAAAACTGTAACGATGGAGAATCAAAGTAGAGCTGGGTAGGGTTGTTAAAAGTATCAAAAATCCAATACTAATCATTATTAAAACTAGTATTGAAAGCGTAGTTTATAGTATCTCCTGGTAATGGTAATATAAAAGAAATATGATTATTGTTGGATGCTGAAAGTCACATTCTACTATATTGTCAAAAAGAAATATGGTTTCAAAATCAGTAATGAGTCTTTTAATCTGACTTTTAATCAATGCTATTTAACACCAAAAATAGTCAAATCTCTTCCTCCAAAATCACATAGCAATAAGACATGACTGAATGTTAATTAAAATCTGATGAAATGCCCTTCCCCAATTCAAAGTACAATGTTCTTGTTTAGCCACTGAGCCAAACACTCTTCATCATGAAGCTAGGCTGTGGCAAATTTTTTCTATTGTAGTAATCAGGGTGGCTTCTTGTCTAAACTTCTCGGATATGCTTACAAGTTCTGAAGAGCAAACTCTGAACTAAACTACAGTGCAAACTAAAATGGTAAAAATAGCACCAAGTCAAGTGCAGTAGTAGCAATTGAAGACTTACATTTGGCAATGATGCTGTCCACAAAGCCCATGGAGAAGCGGAAGAAGATGAAGGCGTGTAAGTGGTCCACCTGCACACAGAGGGGAGGGGCACATAGGGTGGAGCGGGAGGGGGGAGCGGCAGAGAGAGGGGGGGCAGAAAATGAGACAGGAGATCCATATATGGTCCAGGTGAGAAGATTCCAGGACCTACCAGCTTCTTGAAGGTGCTGTGGATGGTCTGCTTCTCCCTTATGTTCCCATTGTAGAAAGCGATCTCCTCACTGCACACATAAACAACAGTGTGTCTCAGATGCTTCCATTCACACCAGCAATAGTAAGGAACAAACTAGTCATTACTCCTTATGTTTAGTTCATTTATTTACTTTTTTTTTTAAATATACACACTGGAGTATGTGCTCTGTCTAACAATGTATGCAGTGATATACTACACAATCTGTTACAACTTACAGTAATGCATTAGGCTACTGTTGCACTTTTGATGCTCAAAGTCATTTTACAATTGTGTGCATTATGTGGTCATTCCACACTCATTGGTGATAAGCTACCCTTGTAGGCACAGCTGACCTGGAGCACACTGACACACATACCATATTCATACTAGACAATGTAGATGATGTGTCTTGCCTAAGGACACAACAATGATTTTGCCAATAGTGCCCCATTGGGGCACCTGATATTCCCAGCAGTATCTCATTCAAGTACTGACCAGACCCACGTTTGCTTAGCTCCTGAGATCTGACGAGATCAGGGTTTCTTCTGAGACGAGGTTTGGTGTTCATGGGGAGGGATTTGCACGTTTGAATTTGTATGTGAGAAGATGTTTCTGTCATTGTGAGGACTAAAATCTGTACACACTCACATCACGGGGACCCGTTTCCCTTATGAGGACAAAATCATTATTATTAGATCGACCACATGGGTTCAAGTCAAGATATGAGTGTAGTATGGGATAGGTTCAGGCAAGTTAGAGACTATGGACTACCAGTCTCCAGCAAAAGAATGCAAGTCAATACAATGTGTATATGTTTGTGTGTGCAGAGTGCAGTTACCTGTTGGTGATAAGGCGGGAGTTGACATAGCGGTACTCTCCCTCATACCTCTGCTCTGTCACGGTCATCTTTCCTATGGGTCTCCTGAGCCTGGTGAGGAACAGGCCTGACACCAGTAGGTAGGCCATCATGATCGCAGGGCCCTAGGAGGAGGAGGACACACTTCACACAAGTTCATATCACAACTGCTTTAAAAGGAGGGAAAATAGAACAGAATTCACTGTATTGTTGCAAAAAGAGAAAAATAAGTATTTCATGGTTTTAGCAGCACCTAAATCTTGATTTTATTATGACTGTGCCACTTTCCAGAGGTTTCACTTTACTGTGATTGATAAATTAACTTGTCACTTTATCATAACATGTCAAATTGACTATAGATTAGCATCAGCTAAGTGGTGGTAGAACTTTCTGAGAACTAGTGAATCATAACTGTATATCACCAAGAAAACATATTGTTACTGGGATTACATCATTAAATGGACATAGGGGACGCCACTAGCCGATGCGTTCCAAAGAGGAAGTAAGCATGGGTGCCCTTCTGGTTCCATCAGCTCTGACTCCAATTAACTTAGTATTGAAAAAAAAACCAACTTCTATCTGTGACTGCTGCAGTCATCATTTTGGTCTTAAAATCCTGGGCTTTTTCTTTCGCTATTTTGTCTGTAAATGAATTCCTATTCCTAGTATGGAGCTCCAAATTTGCTTCAATTACTGCTAACCTCTCAAGCTTCATTTAATTGGAGTCAAACCCTATGGGTGACACTCCCTTTGTCCACTTCTTTATATAGTCTATGGATCAGACCATAATGTTGCCCACAGACTCAGAGACTGATGAGGTGCACACTGGGAAGAAACAAGACCAATATTAAGATTGTGGATTGTTGTTTGACATGATTGTTCTGGTGTTAATCCAGAGAGCACTGAGCCTGAGACGTGAGCTGTGGTTGGGCTTTGGATCTGTGGCACGTTCAGAAAAGGCTTTTATCAAATCAATCTACTACAAATCTACTACACAGTCTGCTGCACTTATTTCACACTTTCACTGCATGTTTAGAAAAGTGTCAAAGTCTATAATTTGGGGCTTAAATGGGTTTATTATGTGTTTATTTTTTTGTGGTTACCACTGGCCTTCACTTTTGGGTTGTTAATATTTATCTAAATTTGTAAAGTGTAAGGAATAGTGGATAAAAGGTTTAACACAGATTTTCTAGATTTTTTTGAATATAGATACCTGAGCTCCAATGGCACTTGTGAGTTTGAAAATGTACAGGCCAATGTCCAACAGCGGCTGCAAAACACACAAAACATTTAAATTAAAAACAGTCTGTGATCTGATAAGCCTCATTTCCACTGGCATAGTTTGCATGGGGCTGCCTTGGCCCCATGTAAGGGCCAAGGCAAGGAGGGGGCTTTTACTACATGGTTACCTGCAGAGAGGTGGAGGACTATGGAGAACACGCTCTCGTGTGGTTTCATCTTTACACATACATGCTCCATGTTGGATATATACATATAAACCATTTGAGATTTACTTTTACCGGGACCGAGCATAGGCTGTATATAAAATGGGTTTGAGGAGGGGGATGTTGGTGGGGGTTTGGTTCATGTTATCAGTTTGTCTTCAACTTTACATGGACACAGCAGGCTTTGACAAGATGTGGATTTATTATTATGCACTTTGGCTTTGAGGCAGTGTAAAAGTCCTGCACTGGAGACTGGATGTGTTTTCATGTGGATATAAAGTAGCTATGTGCTGCACACTGTTTCTTCAGCTCTTGTTTTAAGTGCATTTGCGCAGTTGTTAAATAACAATCACATGGTAAGCACTATTTATGTGTTGCCACGCTTGTGTCGCTATTGGCATGCTGCTGGTCATCCAATGACTGCGTGGGAGCGTGACTAGCACCTCCCACCGCGAGCCAGTCCCAGATTTCAACTGTTACAGTCCATTTCAGTCCTCTTTGGACGTCTAAAAGGGGGTGGGACAGATCGCTTTACACAGTGGAAACACTCAGGGTCCGCACTGTTCCATCCCGTACCGGCCCTTTGGAAAGGAGGTCCTTCAGACTTCAGCGCTCCACAGTGGTGTATAATCAGTGAGTGGTGTATAATCAGTGAGTGGTGTATAATCAGTGAGAGGTGTATAATCAGTGAGAGGTGTATAATCAGTGAGAGGTGTATAATCAGTGAGTGGTACATAAGAGTGAGAGGTGCAGGTGTGTACTGACCTTGCTGAGGTTGGAGTAGAGGTCCACCACACTGTTGCAGAACTTCTCCACATCCTGTGTGAGCAGCTGGTCGGCATTTGCGATCCGGTTGTCCAGGTTTCCCATTTTGTAGTAAGTGTACCCTCTGGAAGTCACAATGTATCAACAGGAACAGATATCAAACTGTATATTCAAAAACAAACTACTATTCAAACTGAATGTAGACCTAAATCATAGAATCATATAAAGCTGGCAGGACTGGAAGTACTTGTACCAGATTATCACGTCCTGACATGATCATGTACCTCAAGGGTCAGAACTGCAGAAATGCTACTTTAAAAAAGGATATACTAGGCCAAGGGCCAAACATGATCATGTTTTTCATGTGCTATGCAAGGAAATAGGGACGGATACAAAACCGGCATATCCACTTCAAACAGTTTTGGGAACTGCTGCTTTAGAGCCATTGGTTATTCTGGACATCCTGGATCATGGGTCTTACCTCAAAAAAGCAGGATTTGTCTAAACTGAGTCATTCGTTGTGTCATTTGGTCACATGAATGAGGTGTGTGATAATTTGCATAAAAACAAATGTGTCATAGTTCAAAAGGTCTATATGCAGTGTGAGATCTGCTTTGAGTTCCATATACAGCAGAAGAATGTCCTCCGTCACAGCCACACAGCAGCAGGAGCAGTAGTACAGTACAGTAGTACAGTAGTACTAGTAGCTCTAGCAGCACTACTAGTAGCAGTACCAGTAGTAGATCTACTCACTGAAGGTACTGGTCGTACAGGTTCTTGGTGAGTCTCTCCCTGAATCGCAGCTTTAGCTCATTCAGGCCCAGTTTCAGAAAGTTGTTCACTAAGGCGATCTGCAAACAAAAACACGTAGTATTCAGTAACATTTCCATTTACACTCAAATTTACTTGAGTAGCTTTTTAAAGAAACTATATTTTGTAGTTTTTAGAGTACTTTTCCCACAGCACGTTCCCTCCTACTAGCGTATGGTAATATTTTTATGGAGTAAAGGTTTTGGTTGGTCTACACGTGGCTTTAGCTTTGTGTCCACAATAAGAAATGATGTGAATGTTTGTGTTTCTTGCACCGCTCCTTCAGATATGATTTAGTGTAGAGAGAGACACTCAGGGTTCCCACTCTTTTTCACTGACAAAATTTCAAAAATTTTCCTTGACTTTTTCATGACCTAAAGTGAATTTTCCATGACTTTACGGCACCTACATGTATAGAATTGAGCAGACTTTAGGGCTAAATGTGAATGTTAACCCTTTCCACTCCCCTTATGGTTTGGGATTATACCGGTAGTTTTTAACTTTCAAAATCCTGTCAGTGCATTTATTGTTGTCTCTTTTAGACAAAAAGTGCATATGTTCAGAAATAATCATGTTGGCCTAATGATAGGTAGGTAGGGCGGCAGTAGCTCGTAGTAGAGCATTCGCCCACTGATCTAAAGCTTGGTGGTTCGAATCCAGCTCTCAACATAAAACATCACAGGTTGAGTGGTCAGATCCACTAACCCACAGGTTGGCTGGTGTGATTCCAGCTCCCACAGATGAATGCTGTCGTTGTGTCCTTGGGCAAGACACTTAACCCACCTTGCCCACAGTGTCTGCGTACACTGGTGTGTGAATGTGTGTGTGTGAATGGGTGAGTGGTTCCTTGTTGTAAAGAGCTTTGAGTGCCTTGAAGGTGGAAAAGCGCTATAGAAAAATGTGACCATTTACTATTTACCATAAGAGTAAATGTGTAACAGGAAATCCACTTTAAGCCATAAACAGAACAACAGCCAAATGAACACCTCCAAACTCCAGGATCCAGATTTGCATAAAATTACACACGTCTGAAGAACTTCAAATTATAAAAAATCAGACGTCAGATCCCAACAGTTACTCTTTAAGTTACTCTTACTTGAGTAATATTTTTCCAAATATTTTTTAACTCTTACTTTAGTAATTTCTTGGACCTTTGCAATTCGATCTGAGTAATATTATTTTGAAGTAACATTACTCTTACTCTAGTTTATTTCGGTCTGATTACACTGGAGGGAATGGTTTTCTGTATGTGAGGATATGGGAGCTTACCACCGGCATGAACTTGATGAAGCTGAAGAGGAAGCTCTTGAAGTCTCTCGTGGAGCGGCCAATAATTGCACTGTAGAAGAAATACACACATACAGAAGGTCAGGGGGGAGTTGATGGACAAGTCAAGTGACTATTACTTTAGCATTTTGTGTGGTTTTTGCATAGTTCAAATATGGAGCGGATCAGGCTTACACCTATTGAGCAACACTGAATCCAATCTGCACAAACCAAGCGTGCTTCTACACCCGCTGTGGAGTGCACTACAAGTTACACCAGCTCAACAAGAGGAACATGACACAAGATGACAGGAAGAATAGTGGCTCCTCATTGTATGTACGCAGGAGAATCTATACCTCAGTACAACACACACTTGTTTTCAGTTACTGTCATTTTAAGCACTATTATGCAAGTACTGGTAAATAAAGGATGCTGAAAGACTCTTCCAAATGAATTCTTTGACCTCAGATCATACAAATCATGTACTTAATAGAGTGTAGTGATCTGTTCTTGGTCTTGTTGTGGCCAAATAGACTCAGGTCTACTAGGGATGTACTGATACGATACTGATATAGAATACTGACGCTGATTTTGAAACATTTGCTGAACGTCTCATATGTTTGAAATTCTACTCATACAAATCTGTTTAGCAGTGATTTAAAGGATAGATAATTAAGAAATAAGTACCATTTTCCGCCCCTACACTTGTCTCAGGTAATATTGTATATCAGCAAATACACCAAGTATCAATAGCAATATAAGAACTGGTCATTCCATGAAATCTTTAAAACCTTTAAAAAATTTTGAAAATGGTTTCGCTTTTTAAATGTGATTTTTCTTGAAATAATACACACATGTTAAAATATTTAAAAAATAGATGGTAGTAAAACCAAAATTCAATCAGATGTAGCAGTTGTTGTTATATTATAATAATTGAAACAGATCTAGATATTTTGTGCAACCCCAAATAGTGTTAAAAGTGATGGTGTATTGTGCACATATCTGGCTCAGAGATCATGACCCCATAAAGAAAATGAAGTTGAATAGGCCTGAAACAGTGTTTTTTTTTGTCATTTTGCATCCCGTAGAGCAGCACATCCTACTGTGTAAAACCAGCAGTATCACCTTTCTATCATGGTCCCGTTCTGGATCATCCACACGTCACAGTATGTGCGGGCCACCAGCATGGCAGCGATGAGGATCAGATACCCAGTCTGTGGAGGCACACACAGTTAGACAGAGAAATGCAATCATAAAAGTCTATCAGGATGTCCTTGGTGCTATCTGCTCAAAAGGGCCAGTCACGTGTGCACTGTGGACTCCTGGACCATGTGTGTGGGACAGAGGTAATACAGTGACAGGGCTGGACAGTGCTAGCACTGTTTTTAATCCTATACCTTGAGCTATGGTGCTAGCATTAGGACATAGGTCACTGGTTGTAAACAAACAGGAGAAAACACACTTTGAGCCTTCTTAGTGATGCAGACTTGCTGTGGTCCTCTTCCAGACCTGGTTTAGTCCTGAAGTAGTCCAGGTTATATTAAGATTTAGTCCTAGTTTCCTAGTCCTAATCCTAGTTCACAGCAAGAAAATTGTCAATGGGTGTGGGTTTCCCAGGTTTATACAATATAAGTCAAAAGTTTGGGCAAACTTATTCATCAGTGATCACATTGTAAACTCACTGAAGGCTTAAGAACTATGAATGGGGATGGGATGAGATCTTGTGGCATGAGAACAAATTGGCACGAGACTGTGCACAGGGGCAAGAAGAACTCTGCTTGTGAGCAGCCATTGTAGTACCTCCATGCAGAAGAGCCTGGGTACCATGATCCGCAGAATCCGCAGTATCCTGAGGAAGAACACTCTGTCCACGACGGCCTTGTCCTTACGCACATCTTTCTGTAAATGCACACACACACCCATGGTTCAGTTGCAAACTTTAACTGAACAGTTCACTCTAACCACTGGCACAGACCTGACTGACAATTAATTCACTATACCAAGACTCACCACACCTATCTGAACCGAAAGTAACAGAAGAAGAATGGCCATTACAGACACAGAGTTCTTAATCTCAACTAACTGCTGATAATTAATGTTAAACTAGGTCTATACTTTCCTCAAAGCAGAACAAACCATGGTGATACTATTGCTTTAGATGTGTATAACGTCTTTAAAGTGTGTTACTTGCATGCACTCACACACCACATGGATATGATTATCAAGGTGCTTAAAGTGTCTTGCCTAAGGACACAATGAGAGATGTAATGGTTCGAGTGGGATATGAACTGCTGAATGGTTTATAACTAGAGCCAGCCCCAATTAGTAACATATTAGCAAGTGATGGACCATGCAGAAAGAAACAGCCATGAGAATTCAAACCAGAGGTCTTCAGGGTTTATTATTACATAGGCTTACTTTTAATTTTGTCATTTAATACCAAAAAATAGATAGGTCCATCTAGATGCTGTATTGATTCAAGCTCAAATTCAAGTTTAAATGTGCTTCTATGTAGATATAGAGTGGCAAACCTAATAACCTCAAGAAGGTGCACTGGGACAGGTGTCAGGTGAAAGGTCAGCCCCACCCACCACCCCTACTACACTATTCTGTAATACATACACTACTTATAATATACACATACACAACAGCCTTACCTCTGCGCTCAGGAGGAGCTCTGTGGACCCTTGTCTGAGGAGAAGGGACAGAACGCAGTTTAGTGACACAAGGTTCATGTTGAAACAGGGCTCATCATTCAAATTATTATTATTATCATTATTATTATTATTATTATTATTAGTAGTAGTAGTAGTAGTAGTAGTAAGAGCTGTTCCAGACACTCAAAGTTTCATCACAATTTTGTGCATTCACTTCACAGTAAGCGGTGGTACACACCTGTAGCCACAGCGGCCCTGGGTCAGACTGACAGAATTAAGGCTGCCAATCTGCACCATTGGCCCCTCCCACCACCAACACACACACTTCCAAATATTGATGTATAATTTATTTTTGGATTGCCCCTTGAGATGCATCAGCTCTTTTTCCAGGTGGTCCTTACCATCCACTACTAAGCCTACTGCTACTGCTACTGCTACTGCTACTACTACTACTACTACTGCTACTGCTACTACTGCTGCTACTACTACTACTACTACTACCATTATTTACCTTTTATTAGTTACTGCTCCCTCAAATAGGGTGAGGTCATGCTTTGTTAAGACTGGGTCATTCATTGCCTCAGCACTTGCAGTGAACTGGCTGGCCTAGTAATATTATGATGTAGACTGGTATGTAGGCTGGTTACTTGAGGCTTTATATTTGTGAGGATCACGTCCCAAATGGAGAATACTTGGTTACAATAAGATCCCCTGGTTTAGACACGATTCCTCCATAATAGTTTGTTACTTGCTTAGTTCTTTGCACGTGTGATTCATGAGTGTCATAATCCATAACTCAACCATATCGTTAGATCATAGTTCACGTACAGATCACGTAAAAGTAACGACAAGGGCATAGCCTGAAGACTTGGAAGAGCAAGTAACACAGTATTCTTTTATTATGTTTGACCCAATCCAATCATTTAAGAAGATGTTAGATTGTTTACTAGAACCTGTCATACTAGCTCTAAGTAGCCTACAAGTAGTGCAGTTTAGTCCGTGTACGTGTGGCTTTACCTGTGCCGTCTGGTCGCCCGTCTCCTCTGTCTGAGCAAGTACAAAACAAACAGAACCCCGGCTCCTATGGAAGAGTTTTTAGCTGTCAGATATTTACTGATAGCCGCCATGTTCGCGACACGACCGATCCGCCGGTGAGTGCTCTGCGCTGTGCCGGAGCGGACACGGAGCGGAGCGACGCGACGCGGAGCGCGGCCGGTCAGTGCTCTATACCGAGGGCAGAGCGGAGCGAAGCGGACAGGGAGCAGAGCGAAGCAAAGCGGTCTATTTCCGCATGCAGACCGTCCCCCGCGCCGATTGGACGAAGAACATCAAGAGCCGCTGCACTTCCGGGGTAAAGACCAATCAGTTCATGGCGTAAGGGCGCTATCTGGTGGTTTTTTTGTGTTTTACAAGAGCTAATGTTTTACTCTCAGATTTGATTGTGGGAAAATGTGTTTTATTTATTTATTTATTTAACACATTAATTCATTTATCGTTATTATTATTATTATTATTATTATTATTATTATTATTATTAGTAGTAGTAGTAGTAGTAGTAGTAGTAGTAGTAGTAGTAGTAGTAGTAGTAGTAGTAGTAGTAGTAGTAGTAGTAGTAGTAGTAGTAGTAGTAGTAGTAGTAGTAGTAGTAGTAGTAGTAGTAGTCAGTGTTGGGAAGGTTGCTTTTAAAATGTATTCCCCTACAGATTACATACACCAAAATGTAGTTTGTAACGTAATCCATTAAATTACTTAAAGTGAGTAATGTAATCTGAATACTTTGGATTACTTGATTTGCTGTAGAGAAGCAAAGACTCAGACATCTTCACATAAGATGTTTTGTCTGCTAAAAAACAATAAAAAAGCCCAGACTTTACTTAACCATATTAAAAATATTATTGATAGAAGACGAGGAGACACGTCCATGCAGCATCGTTTAGTCCTGTTAAATCCTGTTTGAGACATAGTTTAGACCTGGTTTTAGTCCTGTTTTAGTCCTGGTTTAGTCCTGGTTTAGTCCTGGTTTTAGACCTGGTTTTAGACCTGATTTTGGCCTGGTTTTAGACCATGTTTAGAACAGGTTTGGACCTGGTTTAGTCCTGGTTTAGTCCTGATTTAGACCTGGTTTAGACCTGGTTTTAGACCAGGTTTAGACCAGGTTTTAGACTTGGTTTAGACCTGGTTTAGACCTGATTTTAGACCTGGTTTAGACCTGGTTTTAGTCCTGGTTTAGTCCTGGTTTTAATCCTAGTTTAGATTTAGTTTAGACCTAGTTTTAGACCTGGTTTAGACCTGGGTTTAGACCTGGTTTAAGACCTGGTTTAGTGTCCGGCAATGAGTGGAATTTAAAAAAAAAAAAAAAAAAAGTGAAAATAGGAAAATACCTCTGTGTAATCCATTTATTTCAACCAAGTAACTGTAATTTAATTGCCACTCACTGAAACAGTAACTGAATACAGTTACTCATAATTTGTACTCTGATTATGTAACTCTGGTACATGTAATCTGTTACTCCCCAACAGTGGTGGTAGTAGTAGTAGTAGTAGAGTAGTAGTAGCATTTGTATTATTAGTTTATTTATGAGACAGGGACAATGCACAATATACATAAACCTTAAAAGGAGAGCTGCATTGAGCTAGGTTGCAGCACTAGAGCTAATTTATTTATTTATTTGTTTGTTTGTTTGTTTGTTTGTTTGTTTAAAGAGAGCTTTATTTTTTTGTTTTTCTCTTTTCTTTTTTTTTCAATAGATTTAAAGGGCAAATGGCAGGTGAGTACTTAGACTTAGACAAACTTTATTGATCCACAAGGGAATGATTTAGACACAGTAGCTCACACATCACAATGTAATATAATGTAATAAAAACAAAGAGTAAAAAATATAAATGGTAAAAATAAATGCTAAATAAGTAGCCAAAAACGAGCAAGAGACTCTCCACCATCTCAAAAAAGAACCGCAGACAACTTGAACGACTCCATAACAACACCGGTCTCACTGTCCACACCAAATCCTGCAAAGACTCCACCCGAACACCGCCCGATCTAACTATTACTCCCACATCATCCATTCCAACTCTTCTAACTCCCACACCCTGATTTCCACATTTGCTCAGCTCACCAAACCCAAAGACAATATCACCTCCTCATTCACCACAGAGAAATGCAATAACTACTCATCTTTTTTCACTCCAAAATCCAGACCATTCATTCCACACTCAACAGCTCTTGCCCCACTCATTCCTCTCCAGAATCTAGCCTCAACCCAACCACAAACCACAGGCTGTCTTTCTTCTCCCCTTTATCCTTCTCAGACACATCCAAACTCCTCTCCAACATGAAGCTCACAACCTCCCATCTCCTTTCCTTAAAGCCTGCATCCCCACTCTCATCTCACTCATTAACAACATCACAAATACTTCCCTCAGCTCTGGCACCGTCCGTCCTGTACTTAAACTAGCCACAATTACACCCCATCCATCCATCCATCCATCCATCCATTTTCGTCCGCTTATCTGGGGCCGGGTCGCGGGGGCAGCAGCCTAAGCAGGGACTCCCAGACTTCCTACACCCCAGACACGTCCTCCAGCTCCTTCGGGGGGACCCCGAGGCGTTCCCAGGCCAGCCGAGAGACATAGTCCCTCCAGCGTGTCCTGGGTCTTCCCCGGGGCCTCCTCCCGGTGGGACATGCCCGGAACACCTCCCGAGGGAGGCGCCCAGGAGGCATGCGGAACAGATGCCCGAGCCACCTCAACTGGCTCCTCTCGACGTGGAGGAGCAGCGGCTCTACTCCGAGCTCCTCCCGTGTGACTGAGCTCCTCACCCTATCTCTAAGGGAGTGCCCAGCCACCCTGCGGAGGAAACTCATTTCGAGCGCTTGTATCCGCGATCTTGTCCTTTCGGTCACTACCCAGAGCTCATGACCATAGGTGAGAGTAGGAACGAAGACTGACCGGTAAATTGAGAGCTTTGCCTTTCGGATCAGCTCCCGCTTCACCACAACGGTCTGATACAGCGACCACATCACTGCCGAAGCTGCACCGATCCGCCTGTCAATCTCACGTTCCGTCCTCCCCTCACTCGTGAACAAGACCCTGAGATACTTGAACTCCTCTACTTGAGGCAAAGACTTCCCACCCACCCGGAGTGGGCAAGCCACCTTATTCCGGTCGAGAACCATGGCCTCAGACTTAGAAGAGCTGATCTTCATCCCAGCCGCTTCACACTCGGCTGCAAACTGCCCCAGTGCACATTGCAGGTCCTGGTTCGATGAAGCCAACAGGACAACATCATCCGCAAACAGCAGAGATGAGATCCTGTGGTCCCCAAACCGGACCCCCTCCGGCCCCTGACTGCGCCTAGAAATTCTGTCCATAAATACAATGAACAGAACCGGTGACAAAGGGCAGCCCTGGCGGAGTCCAACATGCACCGGGAACAGGTCTGACTTACTGCCGGCAATGCGAACACAGCTCCTGCTCCGGTCATACAGGGACCGGACAGCCCTTAGCAAAGGGCCCCGGACCCCATACTCCCAGAGCACCCCCCCACAGGACACCACGAGGGAGGACACGGTCGAATGCCTTCTTCAAGTCCACAAAGCACATGTGGACTGGTTGGGCAAACTCCCATGAACCCTCGAGGACCCTATGGAGAGTGTAGAGCTGGTCCAGTGTTCCACGGCCAGGACGAAAACCACACTGCTCCTCCTGGATCTGAGGTTCGACTATCGGCCGGATTCTCCTCTCCAGTACCCTGGCATAGACCTTACCGGAGAGGCTGAGGAGTGTGATCCCCCTATAGTTGGAACACACCCTCCGGTCCCCCTTCTTATACAGAGGGACCACCACCCCGGTTTGCCAGTCCAGAGGTACTGTCCCCGACCGCCACGCGATGTTGAAGAGGTGTGTCAGCCAAGACAGCCCCACAACATCCAGAGACTTAAGGTACTCAGGACGGATCTCATCCAACCCCGGAGCCTTGCCACCACCTCAGTGACTTCAGCCAGGGTGATGGATGAGTCCGCCTCCGAGTCCCCAGCCTCGGCCTCCTCGGAAGACGTGACGGTGGGATTGAGGAGATCCTCAAAGTATTCCTTCCACCGCCGGACAACGTCCTCAGTCAAGGTCAGCAGCTCTCCCCCCGCACTGTAAACAGTGTTGGTGAAGAACTGCTTCCCCCTCCTGAGGCGCCGGACAGTTTGCCAGAATCTCTTTGAGGCCGTCCGATAGTCCTCCTCCATGGCCTCCCCGAACTCCTCCCAGCTCCGAGGAGTCCCCCGAGCCAGCAAGGCCCGATAGGACTCCTTCTTCAGCTTGATGGCATCCCTTACTTCCGGTGTCCACCACCGGGTTCGGGGATTGCCGCCGCGACAGGCACCACAGACCTTACGCCCACAGCTCCAAGCAGCCGCATTGACAATAGAGGCCAAGAATGAAGCCCACACGGACTCCATATCTCCAGCCTCCCCCGGAATCCGGGAGAAGTCCTCCCGGAGGTGCGAGTTGAAAGTCCCTCTTGTGCTCGAACATGGTGTTCGTTATGGACAAACCGTGACTAGCACCGAAGTCCAATAACAAAACACCGCTCGGGTTCAGATCGGGGAGGCCGTTCCTCCCAATCACCCCTCTCCAAGTGTCACTATCGTTGCCCATGTGGGTGTTGAAGTCCCCCAGGAGAACAATGGAGTCCCCGGTCAGTGCACTGTCTAGTACCCCTCCCAAGGACTCCAAGAAGGCCAGGTACTCAGCAAGTGTCTTGCCCAAGGACACAACGGCAGCATTCATTTGTGGGAGCTAGAATCACACCAGCCAACCTGTGGTTCAGTGAATCTGATGGCTCAACCTGTGATGTTTATGTTGAGAGTTGGATTCGAACCTCCAACCTTCAGATCAGTGGGCGAATGCTCTACCAACTGAGCTACTGTCACCCCTATCTATCCCCCCAGTCATTCTCTCCACCATTACAAACTGCTTATCTGACATTAAAACCTGGATGGGCCATAACTTCCTCAAACTTAACAGCAATAAAACAGAACTACTCATCACTGGACCCAAAGCTCTCCTCCCCTCTGCTCAGAACATCTCCCTCTTCATTGGTTACAACCTCGGCATCATCATGGACCCTACCCTCTCATTCAGAGCCCACATCAGTCACATCACCAAAACATCTTTTTTCCACCTTCGCAACATCACCCGTCTCCACCCCTCCCTCTCTCAACCCACCGCAGAAATACTCATTCATGCCTTTATCTCCTCCAGACTCGA